ATTATACGCAAGTGCATTATGAGCCGGGATATCGTAGTCGGTAGAGCGAATGGCTACGGGCTGGACGACCGAGGGGTCGAAGTTCGAGCCCCGGAAGGATCAAGAATTGTCTCTTCTCCACGTCGTCCATATTGGCTTTGGGGTTCACCCAGCTTTTCATCCAATGTATACCAGGACAATTTCCCAGGGGGTAAAGTGGCATGGGCGTGAAACTGAACACTCAACTCCAGTAAATGTTGAAGTCAAGAAAATATGGGTCTATAAATTCACTCCCCCATACGCCTTCATAGCGTAATACTTAATTAGTTGAGCGGCAACAACTTTATATAGGGCTATATTTTGGCATGTCGACCCCTTGCTAGACAACGACGGCCAAACAAGCAAATATACAACAGCCACTACTAAGAAATGGCCCAGCAATCAAGCATCTTTCTGCGGCAACGAGAGACAAAAGCGGTAATAGATAATTTCGTTTCGTACGCGGTCCGTGCTAAGATGATATAACTGGGACCTGTTAGAAAATTGCTGAGGTTCAGTCGTTGTGGGTTGTTGCTGTTAGAAGCTGGTAGATAAAGAGGAGCATAGTTCGGGAACCTAGAGGAAGAGGAATGTCCGACGTTGAAAGCGGCTACAAAGCAACGTCTAGAGAAGATATGACTATGGATACTAGTGTGTGTGTAGCAGCGAACTGTGTAGTCACGCGCTGTATCACAGAGTCCAATAAATCCAGTCATCAATCCAAAACCCGTCAGTAGTCACACTCCATCACTTGAAGATATGAAGTACAGGGCCGAGATAGCTCAGTCGTTACAGTAACTAGCATATGAGCTGGACGACTGAGGAATGAATGACTGCGACCATAGTGGTCTATCGTGCTTCCTCTTTCCATTATCCCCTCAGCAATCCTGCGCTTCGAATGAAGCGTAGGATTTTGTACGTGGGGGCGTTGAAATAGTCACTTGGTTCCATAAAGTATTGACCCAAGTGACGTAATCTTAAATAAGCTAAGGCCTCACATTTACACAGGATATCTGTGGCTGTTTCATATTCTTCTTGACACCTCTCACAAGTGGGACTATCACTTAGTCCCAGTTTGAAGAGGTGTTCTTTAAGGTGACAGCGTCCTGTAAGTAGTCCCACTACCCATCGTAGCTGGTTCCTGTTCAACTTCAACAGTTCCTTCGCTCTTTAGCTGGGGGTCCTCGCATGAGTCCCTTTGCTTGCCTGAGTCCAGTTAAGGATCCCCAGAATTTCTTGTGTTTCATGTTTGTCCAGTTACTGATTGCCTTTCTGGCAACTCCTATAGAGATTCCACAGGCTGTTTCAGGTCCTATGAACGGATGTTCAACTCCAATCTTAGCCAATTGGTCTGCTGTTTCTTTTCCAGCAATACCCTCATGCCCCCGGCACCCACAGTTATACCCTGTTATGTTTGGCCAGTTCCATGAGAGTTCGTTGGTAATCCCAGACCAATTCTGAGTTGATCTCGTGTATGTCAGTTTTCCGCATCGTGCCATACCAGTACACACCAGCTCCAGTAACCTTATTTATCTTGGAACCATGAGTATACCAGATGAGTCACTCTTTTCTATCGGGCCCAAACTCGTCTTCCCATTACCTCCTGTCAGGAAATCTGACTCTGAAGTGTTTTTTCAGATACATATCTCAGTATCATTTTGTCAGACCCCATTTGTAATATGGGTTCTTATCATTTCCTGAGTTATATATGCATGGCCACACCAACAGATCTAGTTTTCCATTGATCGCTGCACTGGAGACGGTAGATTCCTGCCCTGGCCTATGCCTCCAACTGTAGGTGCAGTGGGGGGAATCCAAGAAGTATCTTCAGTGCAGCTGTTGGAGATGTTCGAATTGCTCCTGTGATACCCAAGGAAGCCGACCTTTGCGATTTGCTAAGTTCTGCTTTGTTTTCCTTGAGTTTAAATCTAGGCCACTATACTGTGGCGCCGTATGTAATTATGTGTTTTACAACCGCAGTGTACAAAGAATGCACAACTTGCGGCTGCAGTCCACAAGTTTTACAAAACATGCTTCTGCATGTCCAAAAAGTCTTACAGGCTTTGTTAATAACTTTTCCAGCCGCTTTTTCCATGTCAGTCCCTTGTCTAACACTAGACCAAGGTACTTGATTTCGCTGGAGAGCTGGATCATCTTATTGAAGAGGGTCGGTTCCTTAAGGCCCTTTATATTTCTCTTCCTAGTAAACGGTATAATTACCGTCTTATTGGGATTGATGGAAAGACTTGTTCTTTCACACCATCGTTGGACCATGTACAGAGCTGTTTGAAGACGATCTGATACTGTCGGAAGGAATTTTCCGTTAATGAGGATTGCAATTTCATCAGCATATCCTACCGTATAATATCCATCATCACTAAGTCCCCACAGGAATTCGTCGACGACCAAGCCCCACAGCAGGGGCGACAGCACGCCCCCTCCTGCGGACACCCTCTAGACGAGAACGCCCCCAGAGTCTCTCCTGATAGTGTGTCAGCTATGTTCTGCTTTCCAGCATAGCACTTATCCACCTGCATATTGCAGGCTCTGTGCTATGCTCTCCAGCTGCCTGTTTGATTATATCAAATGAGGTTCTATCGAAAGCTCCCTCTATGTCAAGGAATGTTCCTAAGGCAATATCCTTGTGTTCAATCGCACTTTCTATGCGTGTTACCACATTGTGTAGTGCGCTTTCAGTAGATTTACCTGTTGGGTAGGCATGCTGGTTTCCGTGTAGAGGATATGTCCTCAACGCCCCGTCCCCGATATGCCTATCCACTATTTCTCCATCGGTTTCAACAGGAAAGACGACAGGTTCTTAGGACGATAAGCGTTAGCCTCGGTGTAATCAAGTCTCCCGGGCTTTGAGATAAAGGTCACCGTAACTGGCCTCCAGGCCATGGGGATGAAAGCCATAGGGGATAGCGTGCTTAAACGATGCTATCTGAGTAAGGACGTTAATAGTTTGAAACTTAGGAGCAGGAAACAAGGAACAGATATTGGAAAATATTCCTTTGTAAATAGGACCATAAAGATTGGAAAAGTTACCCGCAGGCATACTACCGTATTTCCCCTGCAAATTACAAACTTTTAGAAAGAGGGTTAGGAAAGCTGTTACAAGAAAAGGGGCCTTTGGCACACCTTGAATGGAAACAAGTGAAGTAATGACAAGTGTCCTTGTTCGAGTGCAGTTAAATTAACACAAGTACGTGACTTTCGATTATTTTATATGTTTGGATTTTCACTATGTGTACCTTGCTTATTGCAATGTACTTTGTTTTGTATTGTTCCCTTCATGTTATAGTGTTTCATTGCCTGTATCAGTGTAAGATCTACCCAATTGCAGTAAATTAATAATAGTAAAACCAGAAAGTGAGGCATTAATTTACAACTGACATGTTTATTTCCAAACAATATTAGATTACATAACTTTATATTTAAAATAATGGAAAGTTCAAATGTACTATAAATAGTTGAAGCTATATCGAACCAAATCACTTCTGTTTTCAAATATCGCTGTGTTCGCAGGTAAGTTAACCCACATTAACTCATTCTAAAATGCTAAGTTTTAAATATACATAACCATACTCAATCATCTTCATCATCAGTATCATCATCAGTAATCTGTCAGACGACAGGTCCACAGTCTCTTTCAAAACAGTTCCTCCATTTGATGCGATCTAGAGCTTTCTCCTTCAAATGACAGTATCCTCTTCTGTCCCCAAGGTCATCCAGCATCTTCTTACGCCTTCTTCCTCGTCTTCTTGTTACTTCTATCCGCCACTCTATCTTTCCTTCGATAACTTCTTTTCGAAGGCAGTTTCTGCGTAAAACATGAAAAATCAAATTGGCCCTCCGTTTTCTTATTTCGTGTAGGATATTCCTCTGCTCACTGACTCTAATTAGCACTTCTTCATTTCTCACATAATCGGTCCAACTGATCTTCTCCATCCTTCTCCAACACCACATTTCGAAACTTTCCAGATATTTCTGATCTACTGCCCTAAGTGTCCATGTTTCAGCCCCATACGGAGCTATGCTCCAAATGTAGCATTTCACTAGTTTCTTCCTCAAATTTAAGTCCAATATTTACTCAATATTTAAGTTAAATTATCGGACATTTGAAAACGACATTTAAGAATCAAAATATATTGAGATCTTCTGTTTCGAAGACTCACTAATTTCTATATCGCTTTGTGCGGCGAAAAAAACTTCAACAGTTTTTGGATAGTTAAGACTTTACATTTTTTCTAAAAGTATTAGAACTTCGAATTTAACATTCAACATATTGAAGTTTATACAAATATTGTGTTTCTGGACATTAACCATCTTCCTGTTTTATTTAAAACATGCAATGTTTCGGATTCTGTCTCCGTCTTCGGGCGGAATTTACTCAGGCCCATCGACAGAGCTAGTCTCTAAATGCGGAGAAACTGGTCTCCGTATCGTTGCATGTTTTAAATAAAAACAGGACGACGGATAATGCCCAGAAACATAATGATTTTATTAATATATCATCGTCACAAATTGCCCGAACTTATAATGTAATTTCCTTACTGTATATTCTCATTATATTCATAAAAAAGGCGATAACTGTGTAAGTCTTTTCCTTGTACTCTTAACTGGAATGTTTCCATGCGAGACGAACAACAAACGCCATGGAGCAGAATGCTTCTTCAGAAGACATTAGTAACTCAGTAAGTCATAAAATTCCCCATGAATAGTAGAACCGAAATTGCATTGTCATATTCACAACAGTCGTCACTGATCCCATAACTCAATTTGAAGAATCCGGTCAACATCGCTAAACTTAGTTCTGTAAACCCCCTTTTAATATTGTCTTCTCGGCTAGGTTGTTAGTATTTGAATAAAATAAGAAATGTGAAAATTTCAAAACAAGGTTTCCTTGCTCAAAATATTTCTGCTGAAAATTACATTTTTTTTTCTGTTACTCCTTTAATTCATTGACATGTTCCGTCCAGTTATTCTGTTACAGATCAAGACCACAATGAGAGCAGTCAGTGTTTGCCTGATCCTACTTCTTGTGACGTCTCATATGTCCGTCGCCAAGAAATTCACCAAGTGCCAGTTCCTGAAAGAACTAAAGAAAGGAAACGCTGCAAAAAAAGATTTAGCAACCTGTGAGTTAAATAGCTTAAATTTATGTATGAGCCAGGTGGAACTCACCGGCGTATTTTATGCAATATATGCTACATTATACACGTACACTATAGTAGATTAACTTGCGTATTCCTATTATCATTAGTAGTTTTTGTTAGGTTGCAGAGTTTGAACGTTCTGTGTGAATGTATACAGTTCATCTGCACATTTCAATTTTTTTCTTTTTATTCGGTGTCTTGCTGGGATGATTTGGCCCTGAGTTCTTGGTCACAATGCTGTTCTTACATTGTGGGGGGTGGGGTGTGGTTATGTTAATTTGAATTTTACGAGTATTTTTACCGGCGTAATCCTGTTTTCTGTACACAACCCACTGTCACTAGACCTATATAAAAACAAAAACAAAAACTCCTTGGCTACGTAGTCCGCAAGCGAACTATACCGACCGAGTCACCGACCCTTGTCGGCGAAGTTAGTGTAAACTTTTGCGGATAGAGGGTGTCACGTGGTCAGCGCAACGGTTCTCCATGGCTTTTAATCTTGGTTTCCTAGACCGGAGATGCTATTTCCTTAACACACCTACTAAATTATCATCACGAGGCTGAGTGGACCCCATCCCAGAACCACTACTTCTCAGAAAATCTGGTAGCACCGGGAATCTAACTTGGAACCTCAGGATCTGTAGCCAGAAACTCTGAGCACTACACCATAGAGGCGGTCAAACTTTGCTATAAACCGTGAAAATTTAATAACATTTAAAATAACTGTCAAAAAGCAAAATTTATAAACCCAACAGGGTAGGTGTCTCCCCAATGATTGACGTTCGTTTTTTCTAAGGGAAGAACCGAGTAGGTGTCTTTCCCTTCCCCTCACCTCATGTCGGAAACATATCAAATTCCCGAAACGATTCGTCTTCTCGTTTCTAGAACACTGGACGTTAGACAGAACCCAAAACCCCAGTAAGTCTGACATTTATCTTTCCCTTTCGCTTTCACAGGGGTGTGTATAGCTCAGCATGAGAGCGGTTTGAATACAAGAGCTAGGGGCGGGCCCAACAAGGACGGAAGTTATGACAATGGAATATTCCAGGTAAACAATTGTGTTACTCTACGAAAAGAAAGCTGAATATACTTACGTACTTTGATTAGAGAAAAAGTCTAAGGAGAAAATTATTTCTTCATGAGCTAATAATCATCCCGACAGACAATGAAATTCCTGGCTTCTATATAACCCTAATATTCATTATTGTGTTCAGAAGAGTCCGCCACTGACGTCTATCCTAAGCAACAAGAATCAAATCCGCCTTCTCACACGCTCTCTCTCTCTCTCTCTAACCTTTTTTCTAATTCCTATGTCTCATATTATGTTAGATGTTTTCTTTTGTTCGTAATAAACGTGGTTCCTTACTTTCAGATCAACGACAGATACTGGTGCAAAGAAAAAGGCGTAGGCGGAAGTTGCAACATTAATTGTGCAAGTGAGTGCAGATGTACTAATCTAAAAAGCTCCGCTGTACCCTGTCGGAGCTAGTATATCAGTTCTTTCTTAATATAATGTAAGATTTGTTCAGATATTCCTCGCGCCTTCAGTCAACTCTGGAGGCTCACGGAAATAGATACATAGTTTCACTTGTGCTTAATTAAGCACCCACCATGAATGTGTATGGAAAAATGGAGGACACATTTGATACTGCAAAATTTCTTAGAAATTTGCTAGTGTTTGGAGAGAATATACTGCATCTCACTTCTTACTAGTTTGACTTCTGCTCAGCAGCACTGGATGGAGGCAGAAATTTCATCTGAAAGTTCGGTAAATTTCAACGACACTACATGGAGTCACATCCTACAATATTGCATTCTTCTATAGAAAAAAATTAGTACAATGTACCGAATTGTTCTTTCTCGTACGCTTTACTTATCTAAGTGAAATACCAGACGAGGCAAACGATTCTTTAGGAAACACTTTCCAGAATTTAAAAGAACTATTGCTTGAGAAGCGCGGTAGGCCTAAAGGAAATTGTATCTCACGCTTTGTGATTGACACGCTCATTTCGAAAAACTACTCAAAGCCAAAATGGCAAGTGACACAAGTGGTTCCAAGAGTGTGCTCCAGACATTTAAATATGTGACATTCATTTCATCAGTAATGTGTAATACTGCACCATCCATGCAGTATGTGACACTGCGTGGAAAAATATATTCCTGTAAAATTTAATATAAAGGACAAAGAATACAAAGGACAAAGAATACTCCGTGGCAGGTTTTCCGCAAGCGAACTATATCGACCGTCCGAGCGACCGCTGCTTGCCGGCGAAGTTAGTGCCAAATATAGCGGCTAGAGAGTGTCGCAATTTCCTTGAAATAATTTCTCAATTATCCTCACGAGGCTGAGTGAACGCCGTTCCAGACCCATTATTTCACAGAAAATCAGGTAGCGCCGGGAATCGAACACGAAACCTCGGGATCTATAGCTAGGAACTCAGACCACTGGACAACAGATTAAAATATCTGTCAAAAGCAAAATTTATAAACGGCTACTAAAAAATAATCTTTCTACTACAGAACTTTATTTGAGGAACCCCGTACAAAACAACATGAATAAATGCCCCCGTGTAATGCGGCAGTCAATACTGCGATGTTCTAAGTTTGTGACAATGGTCCAGTCTAGAATAATGAAATCGAGTAACATAAAAAGGAGGTAAAATTATTTCCGGAAACATCGTGAATATTATCTAGAGGTGTACCTCATAAAAGAGCAGCGCCCAGCAAAACTCTGGTATGAATCTCCGGCGTACATTTTCTTGCTTAAAATAAATGCGGCAAATATACTTTATTAAAACTAAATGCCAAAAGCAATCCAATACCTTCAATAGTTAATTTAGGTATCACATGTATTCGAAAGAGAACTGACATCCATAATTTTACTTCCAGAACTCAGAGACGACAACGTGGCCGATGACATCAAATGCGCATTGAAGATCAAGAAGTCTCAAGGATTTAAGGCTTGGGTCACTTACCCGAAATATTGCAAGAAGGCTACCTTACCCAGTTGTTGAAGTCGCCCCCAAAATCCACTGGCTTATTCAGAAAATAAGGAAAATAATTCAGGCCAAATAACAATGGAAAATGACCTCAATGCATTGACTTCTATACACACAGCACCTCAGAGTTTATTCTGAAATAATTGTGGAAAAGAATGTGTTTCATGATCACCAAATGTCCCTTGTGTGACATATCATTAATTTTTATACAAGTTCATACACAGGGATATTATTAATGTTTAAATCTTCTGACAACCTCTCATTTGCCTCATTGTTTAATCAAATAACAGATCTCTATATAACTACAATAAAATTGTTCACATATAATTTCCATAGAGGAAATAAGTGACATTTTATTATCAAAATAAAAGAGAGAAACACGTAGCATATATATCACTAAATGTAAGAATGTAATATTTTGTGTTTCTTTGCAGTTCCTTCCAAATTTGGTCCCCATTGGGAATTTAAGTGTGCTGTTTTAGAAAATTTTAGTCAATAACATTAAATATATTGTTAACAATAAACTGTAACATACGAATTAATATAAACCAAATAAAGTCTATGTTTCTTCGCAATTACTGTGTAAGATATATTATTTATATGAGATGCGGTAACACCAATACAAGCAACAGTATTCGTGCAACGTACATTCTCATATGATTAAAAAAGAAAATATAAACACTTCTGTAATCGTAAAATTAAATAGCGGAAGTGCCTCAGTTTCTTAAGAAGGATTCAGTTAGTTCAGAAATAGATTACGCAAACTTCCCATCTAACTTGAGGGATGTTTTGCTACATACATACAATATCACTCTTCCGAGTTCGTGTCCCTATGACGTCACTTATCAGCAAGATAACCCCCCAACAGAGCACCATTTGAGGGTCGGGTTGCGTAGGGTCGAATGAGGAAAGTTGCTGCTGGCCTTTGTCCTAATAATAAACCTTGATTTCTTTTCCCGCATGACCCATAACTATATTTTTCTGTCCCACGGTTCAGACTGTGTCTTGAGGCTACTTCTTACTGGTGGGAAAGCAAGCACCTATTTTTGTTTCTTCTTTGAGAGTCTTCACACCTCATTTGGACAAAATTTTCACTTCTCACAGGCACAAACCCACTGCTGACAAGTTAATTTTACGTGTATTATACATATCATGTAGGACATGAGCTTTTCGCCATGTACAAATATTTATATCGGGCTTTCGGATTTTAATTATTTATTTCCGTGAAAAGCTAAACAGTTCCGTCTAGTGTGGCTGGTAATGAGTTTTCTTATTTCAGTTATTTATGCTCTTACATGTTTCGGTGTTCAGAGACCGTCATCAGAGAGGCACCTTTACATCAATACAGTTGGAACCTACTATTACAGTATATGTTCTGAAAGTTAAAAAGTATACATTTAATATTAATAATATGCAATTTGTATGAAATCTAAAGTCTTTAAAACTACAGCGGCTGTTCCAATGCATTAAAATATTTATAGTTAGTTTGTTAAGACTCTACTGGAATTCGTAAACCAAGCAGGTTCGTGTCGTCCTTCTTATTATGTCTCCTGAATGGAACCGAACGTGTGTCGCCCTGTCGTTCTCGAGAAGAGGGTTTTTGATGTCGTCCTGTATGTGTTTGTGGCGCGCTGTGTTGTTTTTACAACACGAAGATCTTTCTCAAATCATATGATGAATATAGAACTAGAAGTTTTGTGACGATTACATAAAGGCTTGCCGGTCAAGGTAGCCGAGCGGTCTAAGGCGTGCATTGTTTTCGCTCGCTCGGAAGCCGGGATCGTGTCTTCGAATCCCACTCAGGGCATGGATATGTGTGCGATTTTCTGTGTTTGTGTACAGGTAGAAACCTTGCGACGAGCTCATCACCGGCCCAAGGGGTCCTATCGTATGTCTAAGATCTAGAAAAACCGAAGTGAACGGAGAAGTTCATGGAGGTAAACCTATGCACATTTGGGCTGTGGTGCCAAAGAAAAAAAAACATAAAGACTTTCTTCATCTGATGATGATGAGAGAACTTCAGAGATGTTTAGACACATCTAGAGCGTCGAATGGTAGTTCAACTTTAGTGAAAAATTAATTTGAAAACTATGGAAGAAAACAATGGTGTCCTTGTTGATGTAGCGCTCCGGTAATTGCACGGAGAACCTGAAATATGCCACAAATATCCCAGTGAGAACATTGGATATTCTACCTGAGAACTGAACCTCTCATCTTTCAATTCACGCGTTAAGATTGAAGAAATCAGCTCATCAACTTAATGTAAACCTCAAAACTGAACTGACTGGATAGTCGGTACCCCGGACCGGATTCGAACGGGGTCATTTCCAAAACACAAAACAACCATCTGTGAGCGAATTTCTAGATTCTATGGGACCCTCAACGTCTCACGATCCTATGGGCCTCCATGGCTTGTTACAGGTAGCCTTACATTACAAATTTTATTATACGTCTTTCCTCCCATCTGCTCTAGCATTTCTAATAGGACATCTTGTACTAGTATCAGTCACGTTAGGCTATACAGACATAGCAAAGAAACAGGAGTGCAGACAGGATCAGTTGAGAAGACAGGGCTGGATGATGAGAGGTTCAAGGTTCTCACTTTGGCAACTATGAGAATCACTGTCATCTGAAAAGTAACATTGGTAACGATCTGTCAGGTTACACGGTATCACATCACAGACGACGGCGATTTCAAGGACAATACAATATTGTGACATGTAGACCCACTGCTAAGCAACGACAGGGAAATAAGCAAGCATTCAACCGCCGGTACTAAGTAACGATCTCCGCCTAAAGACACGAGAGCAACAATTCCACGGCATTAATTGCATTCAAAAATAGATGGAAACGGAAATTTCTACTTGATCATTGCCAAGAAAAAAATCTATATAGATAAACCCAGAAAAAAACCCCTGGTGAAGGCTGGATCGAATACCTCCGCCCTATCTTTGCGGTTCGTAGGAGGCGACGAAAATAAAGTCTCGAATCCGAGACAGTGCAATGTCGTTACGAGTCCCAAGGGCCTCGGTCCCGAGAGTGACTGCGCTGGAGAGAATCAGAAGCAACTAAAACGAGACTCGTCCACTAGTCAGAGAAAGCGCCCCACATCAACAAATCTACAAAAGTCTCACAGTAATAAAAATCTCGTCGTAAACCCCAGGTTGATGATTTATTCCGAGATAGACTGACCGACTGATCGTCGGTCGTAACATAAGACTCAAGACTGAGATGGACCCGTCTTCTAGTCAGAGAAGATGTTACATAAAAACAATGACCGCAAGGGTTCAGTTGCAAGAAAGAAATCTTTGGTCGTGGTTCTCAAGGGGCTGTCGTCAAGGCGAACGGATTAGGAAATGAGTGGCAGTAAACCGCTGTGGTAAAGTAACTCTGTCTCTGACTTAATCAGTCAGTCAGTCAGTTAGTCAGTCAGTCAAGAATTGCTGTAGCTGAGGACGGGAACAATTCGGGAACCCAGAAGAAGGGGAACGTCTGATGTTGGAAGCCGTTACCAGACGACTGGTGAAGACACATCACACTGAGAAGACTTAGGTGTTTGCTCAGCGGCCTCCGTAGTCTAGAGGTAACGTTCCCACCTCATGACTCGTGATACGCGGGTTCAAATACCCGGCGGAGGTGGTCAAATTTTTAAGGGCGGAAAAATTCAGGGAACAAGTCCTCCGGGAGGGACTTTAAGCTGTGTGTCCCGTGTCGTAACTTTACGGCACGTAAAAGAACCTCATATCCCCAAAGGGGATCACTGAACCAAATTCCAGGACCTTTCCCGCCCAACAATAGTCTCTAAGGCCTCTGATAGATGGGGGAAGCATTATAGACACTGCTAAGCAAGTGGCCGAACTCGCTTGCTCGGCGGGACTGATGGTACGCACCATTTATCGGTAGGGTATAGAGACTGGTAGAATATCATAGAGGGAAGCAAAATTAATCAAACTGGTCACAGTGAATGGGGAAACCCACCCTCTCTAAATAACTACCTATCTAACTAGGTGTATGCTCTAGTGAACTGTAAAGTGTGTGAATTAGTGGAACTGTTATAATTACACGTAGTCGCTGATCTATAAGGGTTCAATAAATGCAATTATAAATCCAACCCCCGTCATAGTCATTCTAAAACCTTCACAATACCGTATTTACGCATGTATAGGCCGCACATTTTTAGCCAAAAATTCAAGAGGTAAACTGAGGTGCGGCTTATATTCGAAATATTCTAAATCACACTTCATTTTAAAAAAATTATATTCATAATTAGTAATACAGGGTGTTCTACTCCTGAAATAATATTACAAGAAAATTATTTTCTCTATAATTTCGGTCTGAAAATTGTGCTGCGGCCTATACACGCACGCGGCCTATACATGAGTAAATACGGTATGTTACTGCTATTGCTGCATTTCTCAAACTGTCGTTAAATGCATATAAACGCATCTGAAACGAACATATCATGGCGTATACAGTTTCAGGCGGCAGTACGTAGCTGCAACATTATATATCGCTCCTTACTCAACACAATTTTTTTCATTTTAATATGAGACATGGGCTTTAGCATCATCCTGTCTGTATCTTGGTTTCAGTTCATACCTAATGACTTTAAGTCAATTGACGGGTTTTCATTAAACATATTACAGCTGTCATGCCACAGTGGACTACCAATAATTGTTTTCTTTTTATTTCCTGTCATTAAGAAATGAAACATGGCGCCTATGCGAAATAGTCAGGCAGGGCTGACATTAGTATCGTTAATATATGTTCCTAAAATCTGTTGTGGTAACATATACCTCTAATATAAACAATTTCAATCAAGGCAGTGGTGTTACACAATGTAAAATTATAACATTGCGTGTGTGCGAAATCTTAATTTAACTGATAAGTGAAATCGATACGCACAAATTACAAGCACATCTGTAGGTTTTTTATCAATGGTAATTTTACATTAATAATTACAAACATGGCGACACTGTGAACCATCAGAAAATCGTTAAAACATTCAGACATGATACGTGCCTCATTTAACGTAAGAGAAATCTGTATTTGTGTCTAGGATCTTTAGATCAGAACTGTTGAAAAATCGTATAAAACCTTGTCGTTCTCTCCATTCTCCTGTCATTAAGAAATGAAACATGGCGCCCGTGCGAAATTGTCAGGCAGGACTGACATTAGTATCGTTAATATATACCCCTCAAATCTGTTGTGTTAACAGAGATCACTAAATAAGCAAATTCAATCAAGGCAGTGGTGTTATGCAATGTAAAATTATAACATGGCGACTGCGCGAAATCTTAATTTAACTGATGTATGAAATCGATACGCAGAAATTACAAGCAGATCTGTAGATTTCTTACCAACGGTAATTTTACGTTAATAATTACAAATATGGCGACACTGCAAACCATCAGAAAATCGTTAAAACATTCAGAATATTACGTGCTTCATTCAACGTAAGAGAAATCTGTATTTGTGTCTAGGATCTTTAGATCAGAACTGTTGAAAAATCGTATAAAAACTTGTCGTTCTCTACATAGTAATGGGTCATGAAATGGTTTTGAAGGTTATAATATTATTGACAGTTCTTTGGCAAAAATTGTAGTAGAACTGATAAATGGAAGACCCCACTCCCTCTAGATATGGATACAAAGCACGTAAACAGGTTAAGCTGTCCACTTACATATGAAATGGACATGTCGACATTTCCTTGTTACATGAAAGAACATAGAATTTTCTTATGACCTTCATGAGCACAGAGGAAATATCTAATCCATGGTCTACATTCTCAGTGAGAATCCCCTGTTGCCATTCCAGTTATGTTTGTTTTCATGAATAAATCTATTTAAAGTAAGAACCACATGTACACACGGTAGGGCTGAAAGTAAGTGCCTTTAATGTGAGGGTTCACGAGTTCATAACAGATTGGCAGCAAGTGGCTAGTGCGACAAACTGGGTGATCCAAAGTACCTCGGCCTAAGTTGCAATATAACCTTCTTGACACAAATTGGTTACAGGGGAGGTTCAAATGAATGTAAGAATCTTACAGGCTACAGAATATGTTCTAATCTTCCTCTTCTTTCTAAATGCAAGCATGAATATTTCGCCATCTTTAAAGAGACATTACATATTACTTAAGGAGTTATTTGTTAAATCTCAGGTGCTACATTGGTATTTAACTCCTCCAATGTATGTGGCGTGAGCGGTCTAAGGCATGCACTGTCTTCGCTCGCTCGGAAGCCGGGATCGTGTGTTCGAATGCCACTCAGGGCATGGATGTTTGTGTACGTTTCTCTGTGTTTGTCAACAGGTAGAGGCCTCGCGACGAGCTGATCACCCACACAAGGAGTGCTACTGTATGTGTGAGATCTAGAAAAACCGAAGTGAACGGATGTCATGGAGTTAGGCCTAGGCCCACTGGGGTTGTGGTGCCAAGGAGGGGGGGAAGTATATGTGCCGTTTTGCTCTATACCATTCCCTTTAAATAGCTCCAATGATGAAAACTCGTAAAAATTTAAAATATGGAATTTAGTGTTTGTGTTCTGGGAAAGTTTTTACAGACTCGTTAACTGCTAATGTGTATAAAGGTCACAACATGTATGTCGAAAAGAAGGATTTCAATTTTAAGGACACTACCTACGGCTGACAGGTGTTGTAATTAAATTATAATTATTACACAAAACTCTATCCATCCTGGCGCAGCTGGATATTCATGCAATTTATTTACTCTAAGGTCTTTGGCAACGGTCTCTCTAATGGAACAATCGTGGCCTTGTCTGGTGTGAATGCACCACTTATGCAATTGAATCAATTAGGGTATTTATTTATGCATAGTCAAATTGGTTATCTACTTCCTCACTTACGTGTTTGCTTATCTATATATTTATCCTAACAAATTACAACAAATGATGTTTACATACTTGTAAAAAGAGGTGCATGCAATATATTTCATGCATAATAACAAATAGGATACTGTTTTACAGCTGACATATTTGTCGTCAAGGAAAGCTAAGTAGAGGTTTCGACATAAAATCTGAACCGCGCTATAAATACCTGAAGCCTAAAGAGACCAAGATGTTTCTCTTCGAAACACTGCCAGGTTCACAGGTAAGTTGACTCATATATCTAGTTGCTGTAATGTGTTCGTTTTGAAATGTTGCATTACCATATTCAATATGAGTATGTGTATGAGTATGAGGGGTGAGCCATAAAAACCAGCCATTGCACCGCGACTTTCAATGATCTATTGTGTTTAGGATATTTATGCATTTCGCCTCTCCCCCATTCGTGCTACATGCCCTGTACATCACACACTCCTTGACTTCATCATTCTAATTATACTTGGAGAAGAGTACAAGTTATGAAGCGCTTGATTATGCAGTTTTCTCCAACCTCCTGTCACTTCATCTCTCTTCGGTCCAAATATTCTCCCCAACACCCTGTTCTCAAACTTCCTCAGTGTATATTTCACCCTTAATGTCAGAGACCAAGTTTCACACCCATACAAAACCACAGGAAAAATTATAGTTTTGTATATTATAATTTTTAGGTTTTTAGACAGCAGATGGGAAGATAAAAGGTTCTGAACTGAATGGCAGGAAGCATTACACTAGAACCATTAAGTCAGCATATTTTTCTAAACGTATTAGCACTTTCAATTTCACATTCAGTACAAATTAATTAATGAATTGTTTCAATATATTCACTACCATTCGTAACACAGGCGAGAACTGTGTAAATGCTGCCATGACTCTTCGAACAGAAATTCTTCTATACTAGATAAAATTACCAATTCCATGGAGGAGAGTGATTCTTGAAAAGCTGGTAGTCGCTCAGTCATGAAATTCCCCGCCACATATAGAACCGAAATTTCATTACCTTGTTCACAACAGCCCGTCACTGATCCCTGAGTAGAATCCAATCAACACCGGCACAACCTAGTTCTCAAAGATTCATTTTAATATTGTCAACTACTCTACCATATTTCTCTGAAGTGGTCTTCTATCAATGAAATAAGGAATATGAACTTTTCAAAACAATGCATTCTTAACTAAAGTACATGCTGAATAAGCATTAATTTCTTATTTCATTTTTTATACAGACAGTCTAATTTTCAGGGCAGTTCATTGACACTTTCAGTGCAGTTATTCTGTTACAGGACAACGCCACAATGAGAGCAGTCAGTGTTTGCCTGATCCTATTTCTTGTGACGGCTCATATGTCCGTCGCCAAGATCCTCACTAAGTGCCAACTCCTGCAGGAGCTGAAGAAGCACAACATTGCAAAAAACGATTTAGCAACATGTGAGTAATCAGCTAATGGCGATTAAGAGATTTATTTCAAGGGATATGTAGATATGTTCCTAGGTGTGATATCCTTATTTTTTTCTACAAAGCACTCCAAGAAACATTAAAGTACCTCGCACACACCGGAAATATTTAAAATTTCGAGTTTAGAGTCAAGATAATCTTAATTGGTTCTATTCAACATACAAATGTTACGAAATACAGATGGTACAAACATACCACATAGCCTGCCTACAAAAATACGTCTTCTTTTGTAGCAAAATTCGTTGGGAACCTCGATATCACAAATTGTCCCTTTCTCTCTTTATTTGATAGCGTTTAAATGCGAATATCGGTCACGGTAGGCAAGCGGTTTAAGGCATGTGCAGTCTTCGCTCTTTCGGAAGCCGGGATCGTGGGTTCGAACCCCACACAATGCAGAGATGTTTGGTATGTGTATGTGTTTATTCGGTGTTTGTGTTAATCTGTGTTTAGATATAGGCCTTAACTGGCAACCACACTACTAAACGATGCTGACGAGCCCAGAAGGCTGAAAAGGCATAAACCAAACGACCTAACGACGCGCTTCATATAAATGCAATACACAAAATACCAAAGTCACACCCGAAATAGATCCGCAGAGAATGCTCATTGGAGCATTACTATCTCCGACATGTTCTTTCTTGGTATTTAAGCTTTAGATTAAGTCTCACATAAGATGTTCTTATAGCCCATAATGGACTGATTGTACAAATACAGGGAGATACAAAATAAAGATATAGGCCTTGCGACGAGCTGATCACCCGCCCGAGTCCTACCGAATGTGTAAGATGTAGGAAAACCGAAGTGAACGGAGTTCATGGAGGTAGGCCTAGGCCCACTGGGGCTGTAGTATATATATATATATATATATGTACATTCAACTTCAGTTTCACAACGACCACATACAGGATACAACACGTTTTCGACACACAAAGGAAGAACACGAAAGAAATACACAAGCAGAAGTGCTACATGCAGCCACTACAACCAAATGAAACTATAAAACAGTACATTTTTATGAAAATTTAATTTTTATTTTTTATTTTTAATTTTTAAATCATAACTTGTAGGCTTCTCCGAGTATAAGTAGAATGATCAAGTCAAGGAGGACGCGGTGGGCAAGGCATTTAGCACGAATAGGGAAGAGAAGAAATGTACATAGGATATTGGTGGGAAAGCCGGAAGGAAGGAGACAACTGGGAAGAGTTGACCAAGGCGTAGGTGGGTCGCTAGTGCTAAAATGGATATCAGAGAGATAAGATGGGATGGTATATATTCGATTCATCTGACTCAGGATAGGGACGGCGGGAGAGCTCTTGTGAACATGGTAATGAATCTTCAAGTTCCATAAAATGCTTGGAAGTTCTTGAGTAGCTGCACAACTGGCAGCTTTTCATGAAGGGCTCAGTTCCATGAATGAGTAAGTGAATTTTAACGATTTAATATTTTAACTACTAATATTTAATTTAAAAGTGGATACAGCTCTTTATATATAACGTCACTGCATATTACTAAAAAACACTATTCCAATATGGACACACTGCGCAATATAGGAATACTAACAGACAAATACAGGCGTAGGTAAACAAGTCAAATGCCTCAAGATATCCTAACGAAGAGAAACATGTAAGAAATGACGGATTTATATGATGTGTGGTGCCTGAAAAAAACAAAGACATTTCACACCATATTATGGGCTCCTCCTCTATAATTATTATTATTGGGGTAAGACTGAGTCCACTTTGTACTGCGGTCTCTACTTTCTCATTGTACCAGCCGCAAATGATAGATAACGGTGACTGTGGACCAATTGGTGGAAATAAGATTGGTATGGGAAATCGAAGTACTCGGAGAAAACCTTCCCCAGTAGCACTTTGTGCACTATAAATCCTACATGGCCAGAATAGAGCTCGAACCCGTGCCGCAGTGGGGGGAATACAGCGACTAACTGCCTGAGATATGGTACGGCCTCAACGTGTTCTAAGGCATGGACCATTTTCGCACCCTCGAACACTGGGATCGAGTAGTTTGAATCCAACTCTAAACATGAATGTCTCTGGGTGTTTATTCCGTTTGTTGTTCTGTATGTAGTTAGCGGCCTTGCGACGGGTTAAAACTGAAAACGTTGCAAAAGATCACAAGGGCCATACACAGACAGACAGACAGATTTTTTATTAGATTTTTATTTATTTATTTAACAATATATAGTTAATAATGACAATAATTCTTACAGCACAACATGAAAATGGAGGTGATTAACATAAATTAACATACATTTAATTGTTTATTGAATTTTACGTGCTGTTGATGTATACAGTAGTATTAGATCTGCTTGTTGAGTATAATTCGTCCCTCTTCAATCTTTCCAAGTATGTGTTTGTGTAGCCAGTACTTCTCGAACGCATCGAGGTCATCTTGCCATATGCTGTAGTGCTTTTCTATATTCAGTCGGAATTACAGCCTTATACGGTACATGCGCTGGTAGTCTGGTGGTTTTTCATAGACAGATAGAACTCTTAGTCCTCAATGCAGTTATAGGCCTCCTGTTCTCATCTGTTCGGCCTAGGTTGGAATTCCTACATACATCGCACCCTGTTATTGGCTATACTGCGGAAATTCATTTACTTCGTTTGATGGAGAAGCTGACAGACCAGTAAGTCCTTGGTCCGTCCCATGATGATAGCCGGGTTGTGGTTGTAGTCTCTACACTGATGTGTCTATCCAACTAGTATATCTCTCTGCGTCACTATCTTGCAGTTCGGCTAGAACAGACTTTGGCCCCGTCTCTGAATTCTCCATGCGCCTGTGTATATTTCGGAGTCCAACCTAGGCATTTATCTTCAGCGATATCTTATGTGAGCATTTTCTCAACAACCTAGAAACCCACGTGACCTACTTCCACTAGGCTGGCTTCTCCCTAGTTCGACACGGTTCTGTTTACTGTAGCGTCCGTCTTGCGTCATATTGACGAACTTCTTCGACTTGGGATTTTACTTACTTGGGGCTCTCGGCACTCCCTTATGCCATTAAGGGGTTAGGAGCGACAAACCTTTTTATCCACACTACGAAAACTACAACTGTTCAGATCAAGACGTATTCATTACTTTGAATGTGTGCTATACTTATCGATTCTCTCTGGGACAGAACACGGGGTACAAATACAGTCTGCAACCGCATCACTCGTCACACCTATCCCGGATGAAAGATACAAGAAAACACTCAGAAACTTTTGATAGTAACTCCATCTTTACACGAATCATCGCCCCTGAAGACTTCATTACAAATATTTCGATTGAGGTTAGCTCTCTAAAAGGGACCCAACAGAGTAGGTGTCTCCACACGATGACTGAGGTTAGCTATCTCTAAGGGACCCAACAGAGTAGGTGTCTCCACACGGTGATTGAGGTTAGCTATTTCAAAGGGACCAAACAGAGTACGTGTCTCCCCACAGTGACTGAGGTTAGCTAGTTCTAAGGGACCCAACAGAGTAGGTGTCTCCACCTCCCCCACCAGTCACGGAGGTCAGCAATTTCAAAGGTACCCAAGAGAGTGTCTTCCCCTTTCTCTCACCTCAGGACGGAAACATATCCAATTCCGGAAAAGTTGTGTCTTCTAGGTTCTAGAATACCGGGCGGTGGGTAGAGCCCAGTAATTCTGACTTTTATTTTTCCCTCTGGCTTTCACAGTGGTGTGTATAGCTCAGCATGAGAGCGGTCTGCATACGGAAGCCTTGGGCGGGCCAACCTCCAATGGAGCTCATTACTATGGGATATTCCAGGTGAGCAAATGTGTTACTCTACCAATGTAAAGCTGTATATATACAAATACTGTGATTGGAGAAAACGTCTAGAGAGCAAAATCTTTCTTCGCTGGCTAACAATTGTCCCGAGAGACAATGAAATACCTGGCTTTTATGTAACTCTAATATTCATTACCGTGTTCAGAAGAGTCCGTTACTCGTGTCTATCTTGAGCCACATTAATCCAATCCGCATCTCACACGCTATCTCTGTAATACTTGAAGAAAGCAGTCTTCTGGGATTTGGCACCGTGTATATGTGGTGTTAACCGACGTTTCGGAGGAACGTATCGCCTCCATCTTCAGGGTAGAAGGAAATTATCAGAAATCCGCAAGCGAATAGACCGTGAGAACCGGTAAAAGCAGCGTCCGAAACGTCGGTTAACACCACATATACATAGTGCCAAATCCCAGAAGACTACTTTCTTCATAGTCACCCTTGTGAAACCCTCAAATCTTACATCTGTAATACTTGTCTATGCCTATGTCTCATATTATGTTAGAAGTTTTCTTTTCTTCTGAAGGTAACGTTGATTCTTACTTTTAGATCAGCGACAGATATTGGTGCAGAGAAAACGGCGTAGGCGGGGGTTGCAACATTAATTGTGCAGGTAAGTGCAGATGTACTGATCTAAAAAGCTCCTCTGTACTCTATCGGTATTAGTACAGCAGTTCCTTGTCAATATACTGCAACATTTGTTCAAATATTACTCGCGCGTTCAGTCAACACTGGAAGCCCACGGAAATAGATACATAGTTATCGATGCCGCAGATTTCTTAGAAATTTGCCACTGTTTGGAGGGAATATACTGCAGCTCTCGTCTTGCTAGCTTGACTTCTACTCGACAGCACTGGACGGAGGCACAAATTTCATCTGAAAGTTCGGTAAACTTCTACAAACCTAAACGGAGTAACATCCTTGAATGTTGCATTCTTCTATGTACAAAACCTTAGTACAATGTACCGAATTATTCTTTCTCGTACGCTTTACTTATCTAAGTGAAATACCAGACGAGACAAACGATTCTTTAGGAAACACTTTCCAGAATGAAAAAGAACTATTGCTTGAGAAGCGCGGTAGGTCTACAGGAAATTGTATCTCACGCTTTGTGATTGACACGCTCATTTCGAAAAATTACGATGAAAGCCAAAATGGCAAGTGACACAAGTGGTTTCAAACGTGTGCTCCAGACATTTAAAATGTAACACTGCATCGAAAAGAATATTCTGTGATCTTTCCCATAAAAAAACAAAACAACGGATCCCCTCGGCCGTTAAGTTAGGTTTGCTACACCGGAGCCGCTATCTCATTGAAATAGCTCCTCAGTAATCCTCATGAGGTTGAGTGAATTCCGTTCCAGACCTACTACTTCGAAGACAATCTGATAACGCCGGGATTCGAAGAGGGAACCTCAGGATCTGTAGCTAGGAACGCTGACCACTACACTACAGAGGCCGTCAAATATTTCCTATAAATCGTAAATATTTAATAACATTTAAAATAACTGTAAAAAGCAAAATTTATAGACGGCTAGAAAGAAATAATCTTTCTACCACAAACTTCGTTCAAGGTACCCAGTATAAAACAATATGCATAGTGGGCCCCGTGTAATATGGCAGTCAATGTTGCGATTTTCTAAGTTTGTGACAATGGTCCATTCATTGTGCTAATATAATATGGGAATTGAGGCTGATCTGACACACAAGACCTTCTAGGACTTTGAAGAAAGTCGTCTTCTGGGTTTAGGCGCCGTGTATTCTTCGTTTTGCCCGACGTTTAGGGGGAACGTATCGCCTCCATCTTCAGAGCAGTTGAATCTTTGGAATGCAGAGAGCAGTAGCTGTAGCTACTGCTACAGTACAGTACAGCTACTGCTCTCTGCATTCCGAGCCATTCAACTGCTCTGAAGATGGAGGCGATATGTTCCTCCGAAACGTCGGCCAAAACGAAGAATACACGGCGCCTAAACCCAGAAGACGACTTTCTTCATAGTCATCGCCGTGAAAACCTCAAAACTTACTTCTAGGACTTGTTTCTGTCCATGTTTTCGGATGTCTGGCTGTCATTATACTGACAAAACAATATTAAAAACAATTCTAAACTATCACTTGTAGACTAATGACATCCAGTAATCTAAAGAAGGAGGAGGTAGGTTCACTTCTGGAAACTTCGTGAATAGTATCTAAAAGTGTACCTCACAAAATGAGCAGGGCCCAGGGGAACGCTGGTATAACCTACAGCGTACGTTCTCTTATTAAAAATAAAATTGTCCAGTTTACTTTATTGCCGGTCACGGTAGTCGAGCGGTCTAAGGCATGCACTGTATTCGCTCGCTCAGAAGCCGGGATCGTGGGTTCGAATCCCACTCAGGGCATGGATGTTTGTGTGCGTTTTTCTGTGTTTGTCTACAGGTAGAGGCCTTGCGACGAGCTGATCACTCGCCCAAGGAGTCCTACTGTATGTGTAAGATCTAGAAAAACCGAAGTGGAGTTCATGGAGGTAGGCCTAGGGCCACTGGGGCTGTAGTGCCAAGGAAAAAAAATTACTTTATTAGAAGTTAAATGCCAAATTCAATCCAATGACTTCAATAGTTAAATTAGATATCATATTTATTCAAACTAATACTGACATCCATCATTTTACTTCCAGATCTCAGAGACAACAACCTGGCCGATGATATCAAATGCGCATTAAAAATCAAGGAGGCCCAAGGATTTAGGGCTTGGGCCAGTTACTTGAAATACTGCACCAAGGCTTCTTTGCCCAGTTGCTGAACTGGCCCCCGCAATCCACTGACTTATTCAGAAGTTAAGGAAAACAAATCAAGCCAAACAACAATGGAAATTGACCTGAATGCATCGACCTTTATACACAAACCACCTCAGCATTTATTCTTAAATAACTGTGAATAAAATGTGTTTCATGTTGACCAAGTGTCTCATTTGTGTCATACTCTCAAACTTCATAGAAGTTCTTAAACAGGTACATGTTAATCTTTAAATCTTCTAACAGCCTCTCATTTGTCCCAATGTTTAATCAAATAACAGAACTCTAACGAACTACAATGAAATTATTCATATATAATTTGGTCATGAAAATAAATGATATTTTATTATCAAAATAAAAGAGAGAAACACGTTATATATATATATATATCACTGAATGTATGACTAATATTTTGTGTTTCTTTTAAAGTTCCTCCAAATTTGTTCCCCTTCGCGAATTTAAGTTTGTTGTTTAAAAAATTAAGTCAATAACATTAAATTTATTTTTAACAATAAGCTGTAACATACGATTTAAAATATACCAAATAAAGTTTTGTTTCTTTGCAATTACTGTGTAAGATATATTATTTGTATGAGATGCGATAACACCAGTACAAGCAACAGTACTCATGCAACGAGCGTTCTCATATGACTAATGAAAAAAATATAAACTTTTCCATAATGATATCGTTAAACAGGGGAAGTGCCTCAGTTTCTTTCTAAGGTTCAGTAGTTCCGAAATAAATTGCCATAACTTCCCATTTAATTTGAGTTTTGTTTTGATACATCCATACATCAATGTCTCTTATTTCGTGTCCCTATGACGTCACTTATCAGCAAGATAAACCCCCACGGAGCATACGTTCGGGTTGGGTAGGGTGAAATGAGGAAAGTTGCTGCTGGCCTTCGTCGTAACAATCAACCTTGATTTCGTTTCCCGTAGGATAAGTAATAATATTTTTCTGTCCAACAGCTCAGACTGTGTCTTGAGGCTACTTCTTACTGGTGGCAAAGCGAGTACCTAATTTTCTTTTTTCTTTGAGAGCCTACACACCGCATTTGGACAAAATTTTCACTTCTTGCAGGCAGAAACCCACTGCTGACGAGTTATCTGTATTACACATATCACGTAGGACATGAGTTATTCGTCATGTACAAATGTTTATATCGACATTTCAGATTTCAATGACTTATTTACCTCTTTGTTTAGGGTTTCTTTATCAATTTTGTCTGCATCTTAGATCTTAACTTCGTCCAAAATATTTTTCAGAGTACGTCATAGCTTCCATAGTCAATCTTGCAAAAAAGGAGTCATGTCTTATAAGCGTAAACTTCTTTTTCCTTGGCACTACAGCCCCAGTGGGCCTATGCCTGCCCCATGAACTTTTCCGTTCACTTCGGTTTTTCTAGATCTTACGTATTCGGTAGGACTCCTTGGGCGGGCGATCAGCTCGTCGCAAGTTATCTACCTGTACACAAACACAGAAAAACGCACACACACAAAATAAACATCCATGCCCTGAGTGGGATTCGAACCCACGATCCCGGTTTCCAAGTGAGCGAAGACAGTACATGCCGAGCGTAATCTTTGGTATGATCTTTTCTCAAATCATATGACGAATATAGAATCTACTAATTTTGTGACGATAACGTAAAGGCTTACATCATCATCCGTTGACGAGAGATCATCAGAGATATTTAGACACATATATAGCGTCGAAAGGTAGGTCAACTTTAGTGAGAAATGAATTGGAAGGGATATGGAAGGAAACGTTTTCGTCCTTGTTGTTGAAGCAGTCCGGTGATTGCACGGAGGGAATGAAGTAAACCACAAATAACACAGTGAGAATATTGGAAGCAAGTCTGTAGTTTTCCGAAGATGTGAATTTTGATTTGTTGACATGTAAATGCCATAAAGTTTCTTCGGAAGTGTGAAGCTGGACCCCAAACTACAGAAAATAACCGCTGTCACATGTGGGGTTCCGAGTTCTATACCTTGGGAACGGTTTTAGTTCTCAAGGGTCTTCATGCCATTGGCTTGCGTTGATTGCACGATGAATTTGGCTAGTTAAAATCAGCCAATAGGAAAAGACTTCTTGTCTGGGAGAGAGGTCGTCGATTCAAATCCTTCTTGGGGAATGAAGCGATGCTCCCGCAAGATGCGAGTCTTCGAAAACATTGCGTTTTGAATTGATCGGAGAGAGACGTCATTGGTCTGCACTCCTCATATTTCTCTAAATCCATCAGTCTTTCAATTTGGATAGTTAAAATTTGATGATGATGATGATGAAGAAGAAGAAGATAATAGTAATTCTATTCATTTTCTTGTGCCAAGTTAACCTCTGCAAGGCCAATCACAGACAGAGCACAGTGTAGATACAAGTAATTACATTATGGACAAACACAACTTAAAGTTAAAGACAAATTACAGGCAAGCACTGGGGAAAACACAATAATGCAGAAAAGTAAACAAACAAACAAATAATAATAATAATTCATTCAATTCATGTTTATTTACGTTCAGACTTAACAGAACATGGGCCAATTACAAAGCTAGCACGAATAGAGAAATACACGAAAATAATTAGAAAACAAAGTACAAAAATGATAGTCTATATTAATTAAACAGTTAGCATGAATAAGATACAGAAGCAAACATACACAGACAAAGCCACAATGTGAGAATTTGAGTTTAAAATAGAGCAGCATACAATAAAAATAATAATAACAACAAAGAAATTAATAAGGATAATGATAATGATGATGATGATGATGATGATAATAATAATAATAATAATAATAATGACCATATTACCCCATGCTTGAAAATGAAGTTATAATATTTCCTTTCTGAATAAATAAACATTTTATGGACAGTGCACATTGTGTTGTTGATTTCGAACAGTGGTCTAGCTTCTAGTGTGCAGTTTCCGGTTGCCTCAGTTATTACCATAACACGATCCTGATAGGAGTCAAGTGGTCTACCGAAGCCGGCACATAAGTACAGACAAAGAAAGCGGAACGCTAACAATACATGTCACAACATGTATGCCGAAAAGAGGGATTTTCATTTTAAAGACACTACCTGCGGCTGACAGGTGTTGTCATTAAATTATAATTATTACACCAAACTCTATCCATCCTGGCGCAGCTGGATATTCATGCAAATTATTTACTCTAAGTATTTTGGCAACGATCTCTCTAATGGAATAAACGTGGCTTTGTCTGGTGTGACAACTGAATCAATTAGGGTATTTTTATACACAGTAAATTATGGTTATCTACTTACTCAGTTACGTATTTGCTTATTGATATATTTATCCTACAAATTAGAACCAATGATGTTTACGTACTTGATGAAAAGAGGGGCATGCGATATTGTTCATATATAAGAACAAATGGGATACTGTTTTAAAACTGACATATCTGTCGTCAAGGAAAGCTGAGTAGAGGTTTTGACATAAACGTAACAGAATCTGAACCGCGCTATAAATACCTGAAGCCTAAAGGGACCAAGATATTTCTCTTCGAAACACTGCCAGGTTCACAGGTAAGTTGTCTCATATATTCATTTGTTCTAATGTGTTTGCTCTGAAATGTTACGTTACAATATTCAATACATAAGTTAAATATTCGAAATTGTTGGAAGGACAACCCCAAATCTAAAGCAAGTCAGACTTACATTTCTAAGATACAGCAACTTCTATATCATCCGGCGCTGCTAACATCAGTCACCATTCAGTCACTCATGGAGCTGAGCCACTCTTGAGAAGCTGCCATTTGTACAGCCACTAAAGAACTTCCTAGTTTTTATGGGACACGATGGTTCATTACCGTGTTCACAAGAGCCATCCAAAGGTCCCTAACCTCAGCCAGATCAATTCAATCCATATTATCCAAACATATATCTCTGAGATACATTTTAACATTGTCCACCCATCTACGCCTTGGTTTTCCCAGTGGTCTCTTTTCTTCCGGCTTTCCCGCATATAGGATATATATGCATTTCTCCTCTTTCCCATTCGTGCTACATGTATTGCCCACCTCACACTCCTTGACTTCATCATTCTAATTATATTTGAAGAAGCGTACAAGTTACGAGTATGAAGCTCTTTATTATGCAGTTTTCTCCAACCTCCTCTCACTTCATCTCTCTTCGGCCAAAATATTCTCCTCAACACCCTCTTCTCAAACATCCTCAGTCTATGGTCCTCCATTAATGCCAGAGACCAAGTTTCACACCCATACAGAACCAGAGGAAACATTCTAATCTGTATATTATAATTTTTAGGTTTTTAGACAGCAGATGAGAAGATAAAAGGTTCTGAACTGAATTGTAGCAAGCATTACACTAGAACCATTGTCAGCATATTTTTCTAAACGTATTTGCACTTTCAATTTCACATTCAGTACAAATTAATTAATGAATTGTTTCAATATATTCACTACCATTCTTAACACAGGCGAGAACTGTGTAAATGCTGCCATGACTCTTCGAACAGAAATTCTTCTATACTAGATAAAATTACCAATTCCATGGAGGAGAGTGATTCTTGAAAAGCTGGTAGTCGCTCAGTCATGAAATTCCCCGCCACATATAGAACCGAAATTTCATTACCTTGTTCACAACAGCCCGTCACTGATCCCTGAGTAGAATCCAGTCAACACCGGCACAACCTAGTTCTCAAAGATTCATTTTAATATTGTCAACTACTCTACCATATTTTTCCGAAATGGTCTTCTATCAATCAAATAAGAAATGTGAACTTTTCAAAACAATGCATTCTTAACTAATGTACATACTGAATACATACTGAATTTTTTATACAGACAATCTAATTTTCAGGGCAGTTCATTGACAATTTTCGTCCAGTTATTCTGTTACAGGTCAACGCCACAATGAGAGCAGTCAGTGTTTGCCTGATCCTATTTCTTGTGACGGCTCATATGTCCGTCGCCAAGATCCTCACTAAGTGTCAACTCCTGCAGGAGCTGATTAACCACAACATTGCAAAAAACGATTTAGCAACCTGTGAGTTAATCAGCTAAGGGCGATTAAGAGATTTATTTCAAGGGTATGTAGATATGCTTCTAGGTGTGATGTCCTTAATATTTTGCTTTCACTCAAAGCACTCCAAGAAATATTAAAATACACCGGAAACATTTAAATGTCGAGTTTAGAGTCAAGATAATCATAACTGTTTCTCTTCAATTTATATATGTTACGAAATACAGATGGTAGAAACATACTACATTGCTTGCCGACAAAAATACGTCTTCTGCAGCGAAATTCGTTAAGTAAACCGATATCAAAAATTGTGTCTCTTTCCTTCTTTCTTTGATGAGCGTTTTAATTCGGATATCAGTTACGGTAGCCAAGCGGTCTAAGGCATGTGCATTCTTCGCTCGTACGGAAGCCGGGATAGTGGGTTCGAACCCCACACAATGCATAAATGTTTCGTATGTGTATGTATTTATTCTGTGGTTGTGTTAATCTGTGTTTAGATATAGGCCTTGCGACGAGCTGATCACTCGTCCAAGAAGTCCTATCGTCTGTAAAATGACTAGAACGGGGGAAAAACAAACCTCGACACCGTAAGGTGTAAGTAAGTTTAATGCGAATATACTCTTCGTTGTCTTCACAGATGAAGATTAATTTTCTACCGCGGTCGTGCCTCTATGAGGATGGCGCCCACTGCGGGTATTTAGGTAGCTGTATGAGTTTACTGCAGGCACGTACACACCCTACCTACCACCGCTCTGGTAGCTGAGAGACCTCTCTTATCTCACTGTCTATAAATATTACTCCCCCTATTTTATTCTGTTATCGCAATAAGATATATGGATACACCATATATTCGTCTCTTTTATAACATGTTTCGACTCATTGAGTCATCATCAGGTATTTGACTTGTTTACATGCACCTATATTGGTCTGCGAGTCTTCCTACTTTGGCAAGTGTTTACAAATTCGAATACTGATTTTTAGTAATAGATAATATATTTATATATATATATATAAATATATTATCTATTACTAAAAATCAGTATTCGAATTTGTAAACACTTGCCAAAGTAGGAAGACTCGCAGACCAATATAGGTGCATGTAAACAAGTCAAATACCTGATGATGACTCAATGAGTCGAAACATGTTATAAAAGAGACGAATATATGGTGTATCCATATATCTTATTGCGATAACAGAATAAAATNGAAGTTAGATGCTGCGGTGGGCAGGGCATGTAGCACGAATAGGGAAGAGAAGAAATGCATATAGGATATTGGTGGGAAAGCCGGAAGGAAGGAGACCACTGGGAAGAGTTGACCAAGGCGTAGGTGGGTGGCTACTGCTAAAATGGATCTCAGAGAGATAAGATGGGATGGTATAAATTCGATTGATCTGACTCAGGATAGGGACGGCGGAAAAGCTCTTGTGAACACGGAAATGAACCTTCAGGTTCCATAAAATGCTGGAAAGATCTTGAGTAGCTTCGCAACTCGCAGCTTCTCAAGAACGGCTCAGTTCCATGAATGAGTAAGTGAATTTTAACGATTTAATATGTTAACTACTAATATTTTATTTAAAAGTGAATACAACTTTTTATATATAACGGCATTGCATATTACCAAAAAACACTATTCCAATATGTACACACTGCGCAATGTAGGAATACTAGCAGACAAATACAGGCGTAGGTAAACAAGTCAAATGCCTCAAGATGGCCTAACGAACAGACACATGTAAGAAATGGCGAATTTATATGGTGTGTGGTGCCGGAACAAAACAAAGAGATTTCACACCCAAAATATGGCCTCCTCCTCCTTTCCCAGCAATCGTTTGACTTCCGGAAAGGGACAGTTTGGACTGAGGATTCTTTCAAAGATCTGGGTTCGAGGACTAAGAAGAGAATGTAACAAATTCATATTAATCGCTGTCACCACATAGCCCTACCTTGATCTCTCCTTGCAGTTTGCTCTATACATCATGATTATTATTTTAAACTATTTACATATTAATCCCAGCGACCACATTGGCCACGCGGTCTATTATTTATTATTATTATTATTATTATTATTATTATTTGTAGTAGTAGTAGTAGTATAATTAATTATTAGTGGGATGAGACAGTTCACTTGGTATTGCGGCCACTACTTTACCATTTTAAAAGTACAAGATGATAGACGATGACGATGACTGTGGAGAAAATGGTGGAATGAAGATTGGCAATGTAAGCCGAAGTACTCGGAGAGAACCTGCCCCAGTACCACCTTGTCCACCACAAATCTCACATGAGCAGAACGGGGCTCGAACCCGGGTCGCAGCGGTGGGAACTCAGCGACTAACCTCTTTAGATATGACGCGGCCTCGACGCGTTCTAAGGCATGAACTATCTTCGCTCGCTCGAACACTGGGATCGTGACTTCGAATCGCACTCGAGACATAGATGTCTGTGTGTGTTTATTCTGTTTGTGTTGTTCTGTATGTAGTTAGCGACCTTGAGACGGTTTAAAACTGAAAAAAAAAACGGCCAAAGTTCACAAGGGCTATAGATAGATTACATTACATTACATTATATTGCATTGCATTACATGATCCAAAGTTAGTCAAAATGAGTGTAGGATGTGGAATATGTCATATAAATACAAAACATATGTACAGACCCAATGGAGTTCTCACAAAAGAGAAACCAAGAATACACAGTGACTACACATAAGGCTCTTTATAGATGCTCGTGCCTAGACAATAGGTATAAATCAACAGAGTAGAATGAATGTGTATTTAAGTATCGTTTCAGCGCATGAGAAGTTAGCAACTGGTTTATGAAGACAGCGTTTGTGTCCTGTGTTAACACTGTGTACATCCGCATTCGTCTGAAAATGTTTCTCGTTATTTGTAATGAAGTTTATTAATGAATATATATATATATATACGAGGGTAAGTCAGAAATTATCCGCACTTTCTCCATAACACATCTTTAGGTTTGTCACACTGCCTCCTACGCATGCAGTGTTAGAGTTGGTACTACTGTGGTCACGTGATCGAAGTTTTACCTTTATCGCGTCTGTTTCCTTCATGCTGTGACAGGGTAAACATGGCCGCTCTGCTAGCAGTGTGCACCAATGATTAACAAAGAATAGTGATCCGATTTCTCTGGTTGGAAGGTGTGTCAGGGACTGAAATTCATTTGTGGGCTCATCACTAGGAGCCAGAATCCAAAAGCCAGAGCATGGCGTGGAAGCACCCGGGATCGCAAACGAAGATGAAATTCAAGACTCAATCTTTCGTTGGAAAGGTGATGCTACTTAGTATGATGGAGAAGCTGACTGAGACGAGTAAGCCCTTGGTCCGTCCCATGATAGCGGGGTTGTGGTCGTAGTTTCTCCACCGATGTGTCTCTCCAAGTAGTCTGTCTCTCTGCGTCACTATCTTGCAGTTCGCCTAGAACAGACTTTGGCCCCGTCTCTGAATTCTCCATGCGCCTGTGTATATTTCGGAGTCCAACCTAGGCATTTATCTTCATCGATATCTTATGCGAGGATTTTCTCAACAACCTAGCCACCCACGTGACCTACTTCCACTAGGCTGGCTTCTCCCTGGCTCGACAAGGTTCTGTTTACTGTAGCGTCCGTCTTGCGTCATATTGACGAACTTCTTCGACTTGGGATTTTCCTTACTTGGGGCTCTCGGCACTCCCTTATGGCATTAAGGGGCTAAGAGCGATAAACGTTTTATCCACACTACGAGAACTACAACTGTTCAGATCAAGACGTATTCATTACTTTGAATGTGTGCTATACTTATCGATTCTCTCTGGGACAGAACACGGGGTACAAATACAGTCTGCAGCCTCAGCACTTATCACATCTATCCCGGATGAAAAGACAAGGAAAGACTCAGAAACTTTTGATAGTAACTCCATCTTTACACGAATAATCGCCACAGAAGACTTCATTACAAGTATTTCGATTGAGGTTAGCTCTCTATAAGGGACCCAACAAGGTAGGTGTCTTCCCCTTTTCCTCACCTCAGGACGGAAACAGATCCAATTCCGGAAACATTTTGTCTTCTAATTTCTAGAATACGGGGCGGTGGGGAGAGCCCATTAATTCTGACTTTTATCTTTCCTTCTGGCTTTCACAGTGGTGTGTATAGCTCAGCATGAGAGCGGTCTGAATACGGAAGCCTTGGGCGGGCCCACCTCCAATGGAGCTCATTACTATGGGATATTCCAGGTAAGCAAGTGAGTTACTCGGCGAGTCACGGTAGCCTAGCGGTCTAAGGCATGCACTGTCTTCGCTCGCTCGGAAACCGAGATCGTCGGTTCGAATCCCACTCAGGGCATGGAGGTTTGTGTGCGTTTTTCTGTGTTTGTCTACAGGTAGAGGCCTTGCGACGAGCTGATAACTCGCCCAAGGAGTCCTACGCTATGTGTAAGATCTAGTAAACCGAAGTGAAACGGAGAGTTTCATGGAGGTAGGCCTAGGCCCACTGGGGCTGTAGCGCCACAGAAAAAAAAAGTGTGTTACTCTACCAACATAAAGCTGAATATACGTACGTACTGTGATTGGAGAAAACGTCTATGGTGCAAAATCTTTCTTCACTGGATAACAATTGTCCCGACAGACAATGAAATACCTGACTTTTATGTAACTCTAGTATTCATTACCGTGTTCTCAAGAGTACGTTACTCGTGTCTATCCTGAACCACATTAATACAAACCGCATTCTCACACGCTATCTCTGCAATACTTCGTCTATGCCTGTGTCTCATATTATGTTAGAAGTATTCTTTCCTTCGGAAAGTAACGTTGACTCTTACTTTCAGATCAGCGACTTATATTGGTGCAGCGATTACGGCGTGGGCGGAGATTGCAACATTAATTGTGCAGGTGAGTGCAGACGTACTGATCTAAAACGCTCCTCTGTACTGTCTCCGTACTAGTACAGCAGTTCCTTGTCAATATACTGCAACATTTGTTCAAATATTACTCGCGCTTCGGTGAACCCTGAAGGCCCACTGAAATAGATATATAGTTTTCCCTCTGCTTAATTAATCACTCGCCATTAAAGCGTGTGGAGGAATTGAGAACATATCCGATGCTGCAGAATTCTTAGAAGTTTTCCAATGAATGTATGAGGAGTAGGCCTTCTCGGCCTTTGAACCGCGACATACAGTGGTCTATTATGTTTTAGAAATTTGCTAGTGTTTGGAAGGAATATACTGCACCTCGCGTCTTGCTAGCTTGACTTCTTCTCAGCAAAGGATGGAGATAGTAATTTCATCTGAAATGTCGGTGAAATTCTTCAACACTAAATGATGTTTCATTGTAGAATGTTATATTCTTCTATATACATAAACTTAGTACAATGTACCGAATTGTTCTTTCTCGCATGCTTTACTTATCTAAGTGAAACACCAGAAGAGACAAACGTTTCTTTAGGAAATACTTTCTAGAAAGAAAAAGATCTATTGCTTAGAGAAGCGAGGTAGGCCTAAAGGAAATGGTACCTCACGCTTTGTGATTGACACGCTCATTTCGAAAAATTACGCTCAAAGCCAAAATGGCAAGTGACACAAGCGGTTCCAAGAGTGTGCTCCAGACATTTAAATACGTGACACTGCATGGAAAATTGTATTCCTGTAACCTTTCCCATAACAAACAAAAACACACTCTGTAGTCTATACTCCGCAAGTGAACTATACCGACCGAGCGACCGCTGCTTGTCGGCGAAGTTAGTGCTAAATTTAACGGGTAGGGGGTGTCGCGTGGTCAGCACAACGGATCTCCACGGCCGTTAATTTTGGTTTTCTACACTGGAGCCGCTATTTCCTTGAAATAATCCCTCAATTATCCTAATGAGGCTGAGTCAACCCCGTTCCAGATCCACTAATTCTCAGAAAAACTGGTAGCGCCAGGAATCGAATTGGAAACCTCAGGATCTGTAGCCATGAACTCTGACCACTACACCACAGAGGCGGTCAAGCTTTCCTATAAACCGTGAATATTTAATAACATTAAAATAACTGTAAAAAGCAAGATATATAAAGGACTAGAAAAAATAATCTTTCTACTAGTAATTTTGTTCGGGATACTCTGTAGAAAAAATATGAATAATGGCCCCCGTGTAATATGGCAGTAAATATTGCGATTTTCCAAGTTTGTGACAATTTTCCATATCATATTGGCATTGAGGCTGATCTGACACACAAGACGTTCTGGCACTTGTTTCTGTCCATGTTTTCGGATGACTGGCTGTCATTATACTGACAAAACAATATTAAAAGCAATTCTAAATTATCACTTATAGACTAATGACATCCAGTAATGTAAAGAAGGAGGTAAATTCACTTCTGGAAACATCGTGAACATTATCTAAAGGTGTACCTCACAAAATGAGCAGCGGACAGCGGAACGCTGTTATAACCAACAGCGAACGTTCTCTTATTAAAAATAAATTCGTCCAATTTACTTTATTAAAAGTTAATGCCAAATTCAATCGAATGTCTTCAATACTTAATTTAGACATCATATTTTTTCAAACGACAACTGACATCCATTATTTTACTTCCAGATCTCAGAGACAACAACCTGGCCGATGATATCAAATGCGCATTGAAGATCAAGGACTCTCAAGGATTTACGGCTTGGTTAACTTACTCGCAATATTGCACCGATGCCGTTGTGCCCAGTTGCTGAACTGGCCCCCGCAATCCACTGGCTTATTCAGAAGTTAAGGAAAATTGGCCAAGCCAAATAACAATGACGGCAATGCATTGATTTTTAAACACAAAGCACCTCAGCATTTTTTCTTAAATAACAGTCGAAGAGCGTGTGTTTCATGTTGATCAAGTGTTCCATGTGTGATAAAATATCAAAATTTATTGAAGTTCTTAAGCAGTGACATATTCATCTTTAAAGCATCTAACAACGTATCATTTTCTCCGCTATTTAATAAAATAACAGACCTCTAAGGATATACAATAAAATTGTTCACATATAATTTGGACATGAAAATAAATGATAATTTATTATCAAAATAAAAGAGAGAACACACACACATATATATATATATTACAGTCATACATTTAGCGATATATATATATCGCTAAATGTATGACTGTAATATTTTGTGTTTCTTTTAAAGTTCCTTCCAAATTTGTTCCCCTTCGCGAATTTAACTTTGTTGTTTAAAAAATTAAGTCAATAACATTAAATATATTTTTAACAGTAAGCTGTAACATACGATTTAAAATATACCAAATAAAATCTTTGTTTCTTTGCAATTACTGTGTGAGATATATTATTTGTATGAGATGCGATGACGCCAATACAATCAACAGTATTCATACAACGTACATTCTCAAATGATTAATGAAGAAAATATAAACACTTCCATAATCATAAAATTAAATAGCGGAAGCGCCTCAGTTTCTTACTAAGGATTCAGTTAATTCCGAAATAGGGCCGCGCCATAGCTCTAGCGGTCAGTCGCTGGCTTCCCACCGCGGCGGCCCCGGTTCGATCCCGAGTCTGGTCAAGTGGGATTTGTGATGGACAAAATGGCGCTGGGGCAGTTTTTCTCCGAGTACTTCGGTTTCCCCTGCCAATCTTCATTCCACCAATTGCTCCACAATCACCCTCACTTATCATCTGGGGCTGGTACAATAGGCCAGAAGTGGCCGCAGTACAAGGGACTTAGTCCCACCCCACTAGCAATAAAAAAAATTAGTTCCGAAATAGATTACCCAAACTTCCCATCTAAGTTGCGTTTTGTTCTGTTACATCCATACATCACTGTCTCCGAGTTCGTGTCCCTATGACGTCACTTATCAGCAAGATAAACCCCCACACAGTACCACTTGAAGGTCTGGTTGGGTAGGGTCGAATGAGGAAAGTTGCTGCTGGCTTTTGTCCTAACAATAAACCTTGACATCTCTTCCCGCATGACCCATAACTATATTTTTCTGTCCCACGGCTCAGACCGCTCAGACTGTGTCTTGAGGCTACTTCTTACTGGTGGGAAAGCGAGCACCAAATTTTCTTTTTTCTTTGATTGTCTACACACAACATTTGAACAAAATTTTCACTTCTTGCAGGCACAAACCCACTGCTGACAAGTTAATTTTACGTGTATTCTACGTATCATGTAGGACATGAGTTTTTCGCCATGTACAAATGTTTATATCGGCCTTTCGGATTTTAATGATTTATTTCCTTGAAAAGCTAAACAGTTCCGTCTAGTGTGGCTGGTAATAATTTTTCTTATTTCAATTATTTATGCTCTTATATGTTTCGGTCTTCAGAGACCATCTTCAGAGAGACACTTTTACATGAATAGTTTGAAGCTACTATTACAGTATATGTGCTGAAAGTTAAAACGTATACATTTAATATTAATAATATGCAATTTTGTTTAAAATCTAAAGTCTTCACAACTACAGCGGCTGTTCCAATGCATTCAAATATTTATAATTGGTTTGTTAATACTATTGGAATTCGTAAACCAAGCGGGTTCTTGTCGTCCCTCTTATTATGTCTCTTGACTGGAGCCGAACGTGTGCCGCCCTGTCGTTCTCGAGAAGAGGGTTCTATGATGTTGCCCTGTATGTGTTTGTGGCGCGCTCTGTTGTTTTTACACAACGAAGATCTTTCTCAAATCATATGATGAAAATACGTAGAATCTAGTAATTTTGTGACGATAACATAAAGGCTTACTTCATCATCTGATGATATGATGATAGACATATATAGAGTGTAAGTAGTTACTATAGGATTCTGACGATGGTGTATAACACACTGATATGTTGGGTTTTTGGACTTTATCCATCGTCCTGGTTTTTAAGATAACAAAATAAAAACACGACGTTTCGGAAACTGGATCTGTTTCCGTCCTCAGGTGAAGGAAAACACCTATTCAGTTGGGTCCGTTAGAGAGAGCTAGCCTCAATCACTGGTGTTTTAATGCGTCCAACTGCAAAACGCGATTTTAGCGCACTTCAGAACAGTGTAACAATTGGAATCATTAATACGTGTACACCTGAAGATGGCCATCTAAATGTTAGTGTTAATCTAAGTGTTAAATGGTAAATAAAAAGTTGTTGCATTATCGGCAGACTGTGCATACATAGACGTTTCCTTTATCAACTTTAAACAGACAACAATAGTTTCATCGTGTTTACTTTCAGCACATAATCAACACTACACTGTAATTTATTTAATGACATTTATACTGCTTCATAATCTATATGGTGCTGTACAAGATGGTTGACAGTAATGGCAGTGAATGCTAACTTACCGCTATGATTCGAACCCTTGCTCCCCAACCAACCTACCCATCTACCTACCTATTGATGGCTCTACTGTCCTTTTTTTCACCTTGACCTTTCCACCGCACTTCGCTGACACCTAGAACAGACACCTCATTCTTCTGCATTTCCTTTTTCAAATTCTCCAATTAGAGTCAGTGAGCAGAGGAATATCCTACACGAAATAAGAAAACGGAAGGCTAATTGGATTGGTCATGTTTTACGCAGAAACTGCCTTCTAAAAGAAGTTATTGAAGGAAAGTTGAGTGGCGGATAGAAGTGACAAGAAGACGAGGAAGAAGACGTAAGAAGATGCTGGATGACCTTGGGGACAGAAGACGATACTGTCATTTGAAGGAGAAAGCTCTAGATCGCATTAAGTGGAGGAATTGTTTTGGAAAAGACTGTGGACCTGTCGTCTGACAGATTACTGATGATGATGATTGTCCTTTTGTCGGACCCTGGCCTCTCCTCAAGTATCGTAATCTTCTCTACGCAGATGATAGGACTCCTTGGACGGGGTGATCAGCCCGTCACAAGGCCACTACCCACACTCAGGATAACACAGACAAAGAATAAAGGAACACAGACATCCATGACTGGAATGTGTTTCGAACCCACGACTCCAGTGCTCGAGCCGACGAAGACTGTTCATGTCTTAGACCGCGAAGCTACTGTGAGCAGCACCGCTACGATTTCAGTCACTCTAAATTATCCGCTAAAATAAAGAACCTATATGTGGTTATACACAAGTGCATTATGAGCCGGGATATCGTAGGCGGTAGAGCGACTGGTTACGGGCTGGACGACCGAGGGGTCAGAGTTCGAGTCCAGGTAGTGTAACAAATTGTCTCTTCACCACGTCGTCCATGCTGGCTTTGGGGCCCACCCAGCTTTTCATCCAATGTGTACCAGGACTCTTTCCCAGGGGGTAGTGTGGCACGGGCGTGAACCTGATCACTCAAATCCATTTAGTGTTGAAGTCAAGAAAATGTGGATCTATAAATTCCCTCCCGCATACGCTTTCATGGCGTAATGCTTAATTAGGTAAGCCATAACGACAATTTTATATAGGATTATATTTTGGCATGTAGACCCGTTGCTAGACAACGACTGCCAAACAAGCAAATATACAACAGTCACTGCTAAGTAATGGCCCCGCAATCAAGCGTGTTTCTGCGGCAACGAGAGACAAAAGCGATAATAGAAAATTTCGTTTCGTAAGCGGTCCGTGCCAAGATGTTATAACCAGGACCTGTTAGAGAATTGCTGAGGTTCAGTCGTTGTGAGTTGTTGCCATTAGAAGCTGGTAGATAAAGCGGGGGATATGTAAGTTTTGATGTTTTCACGGCGATGACTATGAAGAAAGTCGTCCTCTGGGTTTAGGCGCCGTGTATTCTTCGTTTTGTCCGACGTTTCGGAGGAACGTATGGCCTCCATCTTCAGCCTTTAACCTGCTCTGAAGATGGAGGCGATACGTTCCTCCGAAACGTCGGCCAAAACGAAGAATACACGGCGCCTAAACCCAGAAGACGACTTGCTTCAAAGCGGGCGATAGTTCGGGAACCTAGAGGAAGAGGAATGTCCGACGTTGAAAGCGGCTACTAAGCAACGTCTAGAGAAGACATGACTGTGGATACTAGTGTGTGTGTAGAAGTGAACTATCTAGTCACGAACTGTGTCACAGAGTCCAATAAACCCGGTCATCAATCCAAACCCCTCTCTATAGTCACATTCCATCACGTGACAACATGACGTATAGGGCCGATATAGCTCAGTCGATACAGTATGTAGAATACGAGCAGGACGACTGAGGAATCAGGTTTCGTTTCCGAGCAGGCGAAGACATTTTTCTTTTCTCTGTAACGTCCAGACAAATTATGATTTTCACTCAGCCTCCTATTTAATGAATATCGGGGACACTTTCCCTGAATGTGAAGTGCTGAGGTGTGAAGTTGACCACTCGTCTCCGTCTAGTTCCCAGGTTAAACTGCACGGGGCTCTAATTTCAATTCCCCTTACATGTTGTGGCGTGCGAGTGGCTAATCATATCCACAATTTTAACTTAATTTTACTAACTCATTCACCTTATAAATCCCAGGTGAATAGGTTTGGTTGGGTTACCTTAGCCTCAACAGTATGGCGTCAGTTTAACAACCTTACAAGAATTATTGCTTCGAGAAGTGTGGTAGGTCTACAGGAAGCCTACAATGGCATCTCACACTTTGTGATTGATACGCTCATTTCGAAAAATTACGCTGAAAGACAAAATGGCAAGTGACACAAGTGGTTTCAAACGTGTGCTCCAGACATTTAAATACATATGTGACACTGCATGGAAAATTGTATTCCTGTAACCTTACCCATAATAAACAAAAACAAACTCTGTGTTCTATACTCTGCAAGTGAACTATACCGACAGAGCGACCGTCGCTTGTAGGCGAAGTTAATGCCAACTTTAGAGGATAGAGAGTGTCGCGTGGTCAGAACAACGGATCCCCACGGCCATTAATCTCGGTTTTTTTTAGACCGGAGCCGCTATTTCCTTAAAATAGCTCTTCAATTATCCTCATGAGGCTGAGTGGACCCCGTTCCGGACCCACCACTTCTCAGAAAGCTTGGTAGCGCCCGGAATCGAATCCGGTATCTCTGGATTTGTAGGCAGGAACTCTGACCACTAGACCGCAGAGGCGGTCTAGACATTACATAAAGTGATTCACATTTTGACATAATACTTACTGCCTTTCTTGTCGAATATAATTAATTTTATATTGGGTTATGTATGTAGGAAGTTTTATAGATCATTTCCTTACATGGGAATATAGCCTTGGGTGCTGACGCGCCATCAGTCCTCCCTCACGCTGTATATTTATTTACAACCGTAAATTTTCCTTTAATATCTGGTATTTCTCTTGAAGATGGTTAATTAAGACCGATATTTGCCAGGGATTCAACCGTATCTTATCAGTATAATAAATACCTTGGAACTACTAATATGGCCCTCTACAGAAAACATGAGGCTATTCTTCTTTATTTCCTTGCAACTTCTCTTCCGGGTTCTATAGTCTGAGAAGTTAATATTTACTATTTCTAAACCTACGAAAAACAAGAAAATAAGGAAAATGATTAGATTTTATTATATGTATTCGTGGCCTTCTCTGTGGTACTAACGCGGATTCAGAAACAATCTCTGCTCTTAGAGATACTGGGTTTTAGGACTTTATCCATCGTCCTGGTTTTAAGATAACTAAGAAAAACACGACGTTTCGGAAACAGGATCTGTTTCCGTCCTCAGATTAGGGAAAATACCTATTCTGTTGGGTACCTTAGAATCATTCATTGGACCTGGAGCTAGCTGGGGGCTAGCTCTTTCTAAGGGACCCAACAGAATAGGTGTTTTCCCTCACCTGAGGACGGAAACAGATCCAGTTTCCGAAACGTCGTATTTTTCTTAGTTATCTTAAAACCAGGACGATGGATAAAGTCCGAAAAAAAATATCTCTATGTGTTATACACCATCGTCAGAATCCTATAGAAATCTCTGCTCTGTTTCAATTCAAATTAGGCCCATGTTCTATTCGTGTTTGTCACACAATTCGTTATAATTATAGGTCACATGCGCCGAAATTGACTCCAAATGGCGGATTTCTTCCTCAAGCTAAACCTTAACAACCTTCTTCCGTCTCACGATGTAACAATTTTTTCTTTTCGCGTTTCTCATAAACTTAGAAATTAGTGTATTATTTTCTTAAAATGTACAACCAGGAGTAGCTGCTAGTACGTAGTCAGAGAACAATTAGCTCATGCTTACTGAACGTATTTTAAGAACGTGGAAGGCATGCCTGGGAACGAGAACATATCAACATTTATTTCGTGAGGAATTCAAGAGCGAATTAAATTCGTGTAATGTTTACTGCCCTCCAGTTAAAAATCTTACGCCTTCTCATCTCATGTCTACAATCACGAAAATTAAAAGGTACAAAAATCAGTTTTTCCTTTAGTTTTGTATAGGTGTGATACTTGGCATCTGACCTCACAGGAAGAAAGCATACTGAAGGTTTTTGAAAACAGGGTAAAGTAAAAGAAAAGTTTTCTCTGTATTTAACTAATTAAGCACATACGTCATGAAGGCGTATGGGAGAGTGGATGTATAGATCCACATTTTCTTACATGACATAAACACCGTCCCAAGTGCAACAATTTATTGTAGTTCTTTTGCCTTGCCCCCTTCTACACTACATGTTTCGGCCGCAAACAGCCATCATCAGGTGTATGCACTTACGTAGCTGTTACACTGCATCTAGTTTAAAATTTAAAACCACGAGTCTTCCCAATTGTTCTTTTCGTCGTTACCAACAGGTTTCGATTTATTAGAATCTACTTCGCTTATATCTGTCTGCTTTGTGCATTATCATTGTTACCTACACTCGTCAATTTTTATTATTATGAACTGGCACTTTTAAAATCTTCAGTTCTCATTTAAAGATTCTTTTAAACATTAAAATTCTCAGGGTTACTCGCACTATATCTGTAGCGCTGCAGCGGCTACTTCTTGTTTTCAGCACTGTTATTCTGCGTAGGCTCCCTGTGTGCGTGCCGCTGCTTATCTTTACTACTTTCTTCTTGACCTCGGCACTAGTTGGAGGTGAGTGGTCAGCTTTATGCCCCAGCCGATTTACCCCCGGGGAAAGAACCACCAGTACCCACCGGCTAGGAGGCTGGGTGGGCCACAGTGTCGGTCTGGACGACGTGAAGAAAAAAAATTTCTTGACCTTACTATGACTCGAACTCCGACCCCTCGGTCGTCCAGCCCGTAGCCAGTCGCTATACCGACTACGTTACCCCGGCACCTCTTTGAGAACAGGGTACTGAAGTTAATATCCGCACCCAAGAGGAGTGGCATAATAGGAGGTTGGAGAAGACTACATAACGAGGAGCTTCAGAACTTACACTCTTAGCCAGATTTAATTAGAATAATAAACTCAAGGAAGATGAGATTCCATGGCATATGCACAAGTCAGGAGGAAAGAGTTAACAAGGAAGACCTAGACGTAGACGGAAAGAAAATAGTAAAATTGATCTTACAGGGACTGGATAAATGTGGCTCAGGATAGGGACCAGTGGCAGGTACTTGTGAATATGACAATAAACTTTCGGGTTCCATGAAGCATTGGGAAATACTGTAGCATCTATGTGACTGTTGGCTTCTCAAGAAGATCTCGGCTCCATGAAGTTACGAGTGATATTCGGAAAGTGAATATACAAGTTCAGTAAAAATGCAAGGGATTTCTCTTTCCAGAAATGGCAGTGTTGCAATGTGAGATGGGACCCGTATGACTGGGCAGAGTTCACCGGTCACAGTCACGGCAACGGTGTGCTCGCAGTCTGTGTTTAAAATGGCCGTGTCGATTCAAAATCCCGCCAAATGTGAGGTTCGTGCAGTAAGTCGATTTCTTCACGCGAAAAGAGAAACTGCTGCTGAAATTAATCGTCAACTTGTTTATGTTTACGGGGAAGATGTTATGAACAGGTAAAACATGGGAAAATGGTGACGTGAATTTGAAGCGAGAAGTCATGTTCATGATGAAGGCCATCCGTTGTCACTGATGAAATCATTCCAAAAATTGATGAAAGCATTCGTGCTGACAGACTTTATCCATTGATGAACTTCATCAACAATGCCCAGAAGTGTCAAGAACTGTTCTTCATGGCTAAGAGAGCAGGCGGGAGATTTCTACGACGCTGAAATAACAAAAAACTATCCAGACTCACTAAATGCATTGCGATCCTGGTGACTATGTTGAAAAATAAATAAAGGTGTGTTATAAAAGTGCTACAAGTGGATACAAATATTTTCTGGACTTTGTATCTTTACTTTCGGGATATAATTCGCACGTCTGGTGTATGGGTAAGACACTGGCCTAATGTGCCGGAGTTCCAAGGTTCGTAGCCAACGAACGTTTTATAAAATACAAATGGAGTTAATAAGATTTTATCAAAAATATGTACTGGCTGCTCAACCGCATGTCCAAACTATCTCTGGAAAATAAACTAATCATTTACAAATACATAATCAAACCAATTTGGACATATGGTATAGAACTATGGGGTTGTAGTAAACCATCAAATACCAAAATCCTTCAGTCATTCCAATCCAAGACACTCCGTATGATATCTGGAGCACCATGGTACGTCTCTAATTAAACTTTACATGAAGACTTCAAAATACCACCAATACAAGATGAAATCAAGTCAAACATAAACAGATACAAAGACCGAACAACAGAGCATGTAAACCAGCTCATAAGTGACCTATTCACTCAACCCTTAGAAAACAGAAGACTGAAAAAAATCTGGCCAGAAGACCTTCTCGATGAAGTGTGACCATACGGAGAACCATTACTGAATGGTACCCGTCACAAGCCTCCGAATTTTAAACCATTTACTAATTATTCTTGCTGCTACTATGGAGTAGATTGTAAATTTGCAAGAAATAAAATAAAAAAAAGTCTTTCTCATAGTTTAGTAACGTGTTGGAACGTCAAATTCCATCAAAATCCGAGTATTCAGAATAAACTCATTATAGCAGTACGGGAGAACGGCCTGCGTTTCTCAAGCTAACATGAGTTCGTACTATGCGTTGCTGCAAAACGGCCTTGTACTTGTTTCTGATAACAGGACAGAAGTAAAAGTAACTTCAGTTTTTCAAAAGTTGGGCAGGGGAAATCCAGACATGTGGACACTGAATTAAATATGTTGAAAAGACACGTTTTCCTTGTAAGGACATATCAACGGCTGATACGTGTTGGATACGTACAAGTTATCCTCATTACACCGAACCCCTTCCACCTGGCACAAACTTATGCTAGTGTAAATTTATTATTTTGTAAGTTTTGCCATAGAACCCGCTAGTGGGAAAACAAAGGCTTTGTGTGATGTGACTAATTTCCATACGGAAAGTTGGCATAATTTATTTGTATGTAAATGAGGAAGCGAGATATTATTTTACAACTGACATGTTTATCTTTAACGAAATTAGATTACAACCCTTGACATTTATGATAATGGGAAATTCGAATGTAATATAAATAGTTGAAGCTCTATGGAACCAAAACACTTCTTTTTAAAATATCGCTGTGTTCGCAGGTAAGTTAACTCACGTTACGTCCTTCTAAAATGCTCAGTTTTAAATATACATAACCATACACAATATTTCAGTTAAATTATCGGACATTTGAGAATGACAGTTAAGAATCAAAATATATTGAGATCTTCTGTTTCGAAGACTCACTAATTTCTATATCGCTTTGTGCGGCGAAAAAAACTTCAACAGTTTTTGGATAGTTAAGACTTTACATTTTTTCTAAAAGTATTAGAACTTCGAATTTAACATTCAACATATTGAAGTTTATACAAATATTGTGTTTCTGGACATTAACCATCTTCCTGTTTTATTTAAAACACACAATGTTTCGGAATCTGCCTCCGTTTTCGGGAGGAATTTACTCAGGCCCGTCGATAGAGCTAGTCTCTAAATGCGGAGAAACCGGTCTCCGTAACACTGTGTGTTTTAAATAAAAACAGGACGACGGATAATGTCCAGAAATATGATTGTATTAATACACAGTCGTCACAAACTTTCCGAATTTATTCTAAAATTTACGTACTGTATATTCTTTGGCCGCGTCATAGCTCAAGAGGTTAGTCGCTGACTTCCCACCGCGGCGGCCCGGGTTCGATCCCGAGTCTGGTCAGGTGGGAATTGCGGTGGACAAAGTGGCGTTCGGGCGGATTTTCTCTGAATACTTCGGTTTCCCTTGCCAATCTTCATTCCACCAAATTCTCCATCACCATAATCAGCCGGGGCAGGCTACAATAGCCCAATCAGTGGCCGCCGTGCCGAGTGGACCCAGTTGGACTCCACCCCCCACTAAGCGAATTAAAAAAATTAAAATTACTGTATATTTTCGTTATATTCATAAAAAGACGATAATTATGTAAATATTGTCTTTTCACTCTTAATTGCAATATTTGTAAGCGAGACGAACAAAAAACGCAGAATGCTTCTTCAGAAGACGATAGTCTCTCAGTTAGTCATAAAAATCCCAATAATATATAGAACAGAAAATGCATTGCCATATTCACAACAGCTGCCACTGATCTCAATCCTGAATATGTAGAATCCGGTCAACGTCGCTAAACCTAGTTCTGTAAGACCTTTTTTAATATTGTCATCTAGTCTATGCTATTTCTATTTCAATAAAATAAGAAATGTGAAGATCTGAAAACAATGCTTTCTCGCTCAAAATTATTTCCGCTGAAAATTACATTTTCTATTCTTTTATTTTTACAATATGTTGACATGTTCCATGCAGTTATTCTCTTACAGGTCAAGGCCACAATGAAAGCAGTCAGTGTGTGTCTGATCCTATTTCTTGTGACGGCTCGCATGTCCGTCGCCAGGATCCTGAGTCAGTGCCAATTGCTGCAGGAGCTCAGGAACCGCAACGTTGCAGGAAACGATTTAGCAACCTGTGAGTTTAATAGCTGACGAGGATTATTAAATTTATTCCATACAAAACAAAGCACTGAATGGCACATTAGCCTCCCGATAATTTGTTCTTTATCTTTTCACCCAAAGATAACAATTATTTTATTCCTGTCAATACAACACTATGTTCAGCAAATGGGGCTGTTGTCTAAGATGACACTTTTAGCCACATGTGTCCTATTTTAAGGTCCTGTTTTTAGTTACAACTGGCACGTCATACACTTAGCTTAAATTTACATGTAAGCCGAGTAGATCCACCTGTGTGTTGTATGCAATATATGCTACATTATACACGTACACTACAGTAGATTAACTTGCGTATTGCTATTATCATTAGTAGTTTTGGTTATGTTGCAGAGTTTGAACGTTCTGTGTGAATGTATACAGTTCATCTGCACATTTCACGTTTGTCGTTTTTTCCAGTGTTCTTTCTGGGGTGGCTTGATCTTGAATTCTTGGTGACACTGTTGTTCTTACAATGCGGAGGGGGGGGTTATGTTAGTTTGACCATTACGAGAATTCTTACCGGCGTGGTTCCGTTTTCTGTACACAACCCACTGTCACCAGACATGTATACTGAACTCAAAAATTCTCCGAGCATGAACTACGTCACAGAAAGAGGTTTTAGGGAACATGTGTGATGCTAAGAGCAAGGGCAAAGTCGGACGGCAAAGCATGTCTCTGAGAATTCAGAGTATAACTGACTGTTCACCTCTCTCGACCTTTGCTCCCTGCGATTAATGCCCCCAGGAATAACAGCGAAACAAAGAGTACGTGTAAAACGGACAGAGATAAAAAGTTCTATGATCCACATTCACGCAGAACATCCAAAATTCGCATCTTAACAAAGGCTGCAATGTTACCCAGCAGCAACAACAAGCCAGTCTATTACAGTATATAATACAATATTGTCATATGTCCTGGTAACATGAAAAGTAATTAATTGGTTCCGAATTAGATTAATCTGTTTATTGGCTATTCACCAGGCGAACTACAGTTACTTGTAACACAATCTTACTGTAACTAAAACACTTCGTAAGTACGAACAATGATGACACTACATAAACTACAGACTTCACTTCTGACTTCCGACATCATCTTCTGTGTTGTCCTCTTCTGTATTCTGTTGGTCAGTTCTCTCACCGAGGTAGGTTCTGGTCGAACAGTATGGAAATCGCCTCTTTCAACAGTAGAGTTATCGCGTTTCTAGCCGTTACTGTGCTTCGGAAGTTTGTTGTCATGTCGTTAATCAGTTCAAGTTACACTGCACGTATCAAACCACTAGCAACCGATACCCAATAGTTGACTGTTACCTAGGAAATGTGTTTACCGAGCCTCTCCCTAGCTATACATGTTACAATATACAGAATATAAAGCACTGGTCGATCCACTAGGTTTGCATGTAAATTTACGCTAAGTCTGATACATTAAATGTAACCACCCCATCTCCAGAAAATAATGTTGTGCTGAGAGGAACAAAGTAAACATTATCTCTAGTGATTTCACTCCAAGAAACGTCAAGATAACTTGACGAAATGCAATTGTTTCTCAGTTAAGATTAAATTAAGATTCGGGGCGTCAGAGTAACCACAAATTTCATTCATTTAAATTAAACGCCTTACAAAACATGGACTGGACAAAGCTTGCCACAAACAATGCCGTTTCCTTGGCAATAGATGCAGATGAGGACTCCGATTTCAAAAACTACACCTCCCTCACCCTCTCTCTGCTTGATGAACGGGTTTTTCTACGAATACTTCTTTTCGTTCTCTTCCCACGAGAAGATAGTATATAATTTATTATTGAACTGAGCACACATGGCCAACAGCAGCAGTCCAGGTCAACGCACTTCTTCTTACACAAGAAATGTGTACAGCCGCCTCTATCAACACATAGATCCCTGATGGAGACAAAAACAGTCTCAGAAATGTTTGATAATAGCCACATGTTCACACGAATCTTCGCTCCAGAAGACTTTATTACAAATACTTTGATAGAGATTAGCTCTTTCTAAGATACCCAACAGAGTAGGTGTCTCCACCAGTGGTGTTCTTTCTAAGGGACGAACAGACTAGGCGTCTCCCCCAGTGACTGACGTTAGCTCTTTCTAAGGGACACAACAAAGCAGGTGTCTCCCTCAGTGATTGAGGTTAGCTCTTTCTAAGGGACCCAAGAGAGTAGAAATCTCTCCCAGTGATTCCGGTTAGCTTATTCTACGGGATTCAACAGTGTTGGTGGTTCCCCCCCTGTGACTGAGGTTAGCTCTTTCTACGGGACACAACAGGGTAGGTGTCTTCCCCAGTAATTGATATTAGCCCTTTCTAAGAGACCCAACAGGGAAGGTATCTCGCCCCATTGATTGATGTTAGCTCTTTCTACGGGACCCAACAGAGTGTTTTCCTTTTTCCTTCACCTCATGGGGGAAACATATCCAGTTCCCGAAACGTTGCGTTTTCTAGTTTCTAGTATACCGGACCGTGGACAGAGTCCCAAAACCCAGTAATTCCGACATTTATCTTTCTCTCTCTCTTTCACAGGGGTGTGTATAGCTCAGCATGAGAGCTCTCTGAATACGGCAGCTAGGGGCGGGCCCAACACGGACGGAAGTTTTGACAATGGGATATTCCAGGTAAGCAATTGTGTTACTCTACGAAAGTAAAACTGAATATACGTACGTACTGTGACTGGAGAAAACGTGTAAGGAGAAAAAATCTTTCTTCACAAGCTAAGAATCATCGAGAATGGCAGTGAAATGTCTGTATTTTATGTAAACATAATATTCATTACCGTGTTCACAAGAGTCCGCCACTGATGTATATCCCGAGCCACATGAATCCAGTCCTCATTCTCACACGCTATCTCGCTAATACTTCGTTTATGCCTGTGTCTCATATTATGTTAGAAGTTTTCTCTTCTTCGGAAAGTAACGTCAATTCTTACTTTCAGATCAACGACAGATACTGGTGCAGAGAAAACGGCGTAGGCGGTAGTTGCAACATTAATTGTGCAGGTGAGGACAGATGTACCTCTCAATATACTGTAACATTTGTTCAAATATTACTTGCGAGGTTCAGTCAACCCTGGAGGCTCACTTAAATAGATACGTGTATATATATTTCGCTGTGCTTAATTAAGCACTCGCCATGAATCCGTATGGCTGAATGGAGGACATAACAGATGTATAAATACCGTCTTTCTACTGTAACCCTTGTTCCCGATCTCGTTGTATGTAACATAATGTGGATAACGACCTCCATGTAATCTTATATTCAGTACTGAGATTGTCCTAGTATTGTGAGAATGGTTCGTTCATTGTACCAATATTTTGGTGCACAATGTTCATTTTCTGAGGCATGGCTGATATACAAGACGTGTTGGGATTTCCTTGTACTTCTGTTTTCAGGTGACTGGTTGTCATTATGCTGAGAAAAAGATATTTAAATAATTTTAAAATCTCTCGTTTTCAGCTCTCAGAGATGACAACTTGACCGATGACATAAATTGCGCATTGAAAATCAAGAATGTTCAGGGATTCACGGCCTGGACTGTTTATTCGAGATACTGCACCCGTGCTGTCTTGCCCGGCTGCTGAAATGGCATCCACAATCTATCTGCATATTCAGAAGTGAAATATGTCCAATCACATGAAATAATAATGGCAAAGTTCCGCACAGCATTTCGTGATATGCACGAAGCATCTCAATGAGTTTTCTTAAATAAAGGTGGAGGAGAGTAGGTTTTGTGTTCACTGAGTGTCCCACATGTGACTTATTCTAAAACTTTATAGAAGTTCCTGAACAAGGATATCATTAAACTCTAATTCCTCTAACAGCCTCTCAATTGTCTTCAGTGTATAATCTATTAAGACATTACTAAGGAACTACAATAAAATTACTCACATGTTCTTTCGAGAGAAGAAATAAATGATATTTATTACCAAAACGAAAGAATATATTTCACAGAAGTTATGAATACAATTATAATATTTTGTTCCTCTTACAGTTCCATCCAAATTTCTTCCGCTTAACAAATTTAAGTTTGCTGTTTCAAGAGATGCAAACAATAACGCTAAATATACATTTAACAATAAGTTGTAACATACTGTGACATGTCTAACCGTTCCTGGGCAACGGGAGGTGGAACGAGTTACTACGAAGACATACCCTTGATAAACGATCGGTTACCAAGTTACGCAACAGTAAGGAAAGCGGTGTTTCTCCGTACCGTGCCGAGTAGAGCCGAAGCGCGCTGGTTGCTACGCAGCAATAAACAACTCTCGGCAGTGTTGCCCAGCAACGCCTGTAAACACGACGTTAAGCAACAGTGGTAGCTATCACGTAACTCTTTTCTGTGTTGTCAGTGCGGAAGCTACATAAGGATTGAGTAATGAGTATTGAGCCAGTTACTAGTATCCAGTATGAGGTGAAGTCCATTGATATTGAGTTGTATTGAGTGAACGGAAGTGACTCCAGCAGGAGAAGTAAGAGTGATACTGCAGATGGCAATAGCTGTGAAACTGTGAATGGTGTAAATGTAAGAGCGAGTGTTCAATAAATTCACTGCATCCAAGACGGGGTGAAGTTATTTGTCGCGTAACATACCCAACACGTGACAATATGATTTAAAATATTCCAAATCAACTGTATGTTTCTTTGCAATTACCGTGTAAGATATATCATTTGTATGAGATGCGGCAACAAAATACAAGCAACAATATTCATGGAACGAACCTTGTCATATAAACATTCCACAATGACAAATTTAAATAGCGGAAGTGCCTCAGTTTCTTGCTAATGATTCAATAGATCCGAAATAGATTGCCCAAATTTCCCATCTAACCCGCGGCTTGTTTTAATACATCCATACAACGTCACTGTATCTGAGTTTGTGTCCTTATGATGGCGAATGTCAGCAGGAAAACTCCAATTAGTGCACCATTGTTAGCGAAGAAGCGCCTTTCCTTATAATGTGACCACCTACTTCCTGCTTTCTCTGTAAGTCTGTGCATCTTCCACATGTTAATGACTTCCTTATTTATTTGCGGTTTACTAAACGACTCAGTCTGTAGCTCTCTCCATAAGTTTGTGTAAAACGTTTGAGAGTACTTCACGCCTTCCGTAGGCAACCGCACGAAAAGAAGGGTCCTCTGTTCTCAACAAGACTTCCGGTATGGGGATTTTTGCCATCATATGTTGAATCCAGAATCTAGTAACTTCGTGAGGATGACATAATGACCTGAGTCACTGATAACGAGACATCATTAGAGGTGTTTAGACATACGTCTATAGCTTCAAATACTCGTAGTATGAGGATTTAGGTGAACAATGAATTGGAAAGGATGTGGAAGGAAGCGGTCGTGGTTTTGTTTGAGGTATTTGCCCGGCGCTTTCCTTGAGTGACTGAGGTAAAACGCGAGCAACCTCAGTCAGGAATGGAGACGTCCGGGCCAAAATTCGAACCTGTAAACTCAAAAATAAAAAGCAGAAGCGTTACTGAGCCAACTCATTCGGTTTATTGTCACTACGACGTTTCTTCTTTGTGGACAGTTTAAAAAAAAGGACACAGTCATTTCAGATAAATATTTTCCTTAATATTTTAAATTCATAAGCCTATATGTCTAGCACAACCCGACTTTCCGAAATTTGTAGGACATCTTCCCACTCCTGTAGTTATGAATGACACCATCAGCCAATCACAGATGAGACACACCCGGAAGCAAGATGTAATTTTTCTTCAGCGATGGTTTAGCATCAATAATTATGTATGAACAATCATGGAGCCATCTGCATGGGAAAAATGTGAAATTAAGTTCATATTTTCTCATGGAAACATCAAAATAAGACGCCACACTTGGAGACCTAGCGTTAAGACGAAGGGAAGTATCAAAATAGATTTAGGAGAAGTTATGAATATATGGTTGGCCAGAAATGGCACAATGCAGTGTCTACTGTGAGTATTTTGTGAACACGGTAATGAATATTCAGGTTCCTGAAAAACAGAAAATCTTCTGGACCATGAAACTGTATAGTTTGTTACAAATTGGAGGAAACAGTCATAGGGGTTTTCAAATTAGATACTCTCCCTGGAGCATCTTGGGATAATTAAAATAAATCATCGAAAATACTAGCACAATTCATTTATGAGGTGAAATTCGAAACAGGTACTTCCCAAATTAAATATATCTAGTATATGAGAATTTTTTACTATCTAAGAAATAATGTTTTTTCATGTTTACTTCACCCATTTTAAGCGCCCTACTAACATACAAACTCCCTTCTCGAGAAGCCGCCAATTTTGCAGCTTCTCAAGAATTTCTTAACATTTTATGAAACCCGAATGTTCAATACTGTGTACACAAGAGCTTTTCACTGGTTCCTATCCTGAGCCAGATAAATCCAGTCCATAATATCCTATCCTATCTCTCTAAGATCCATTTCAAAATTAATAACCGACCTACATCTATTTCTTCCTAGTGATCTCTTTCCTTGTGGCTTTCTCACCAATTTTAGATATGCGTTCTTATTCTTTTCTATTCGTGCTACATGCCCTGTCCACCTCATCCTCCTTAATTTTGTCATTCTAATTATACTTAGAGAAGAGTACAAGTTATGAAGCTTCTCATTATGCAGTTTTCTCCATTCTCCTATCACTGCATTTCTCGTATAATAGTGTTCCTCTGAAGATGGTCTCTGAAGACCGAAACATGTAAGGGCATAAATAATTGAAATAAGAAAAATCTTCACCAGTGACACTGGACGAACTGTTTAACTTTTCACGACCTTCCTTCAGAGTTTCCTATAACAACATAAGAGAAGCACATTTTGTCTTTCAAGGAAGAAACCCTGAAGTTTATGAAGTCGGCTACTATATGGAATATGAGAACCGGCAACATTTTTTTACTTGTTTCTATCGGCTGTTTGCGTTGTTGAAATGGTGAAGGTGCTTAATGCAATTTAAAAATAACGTGACCTCAACCCTGCGCGCCGTTGCTATGACTACAGTTTCAGGAGTAGCTAGAAGCCGTGGAATTCATCGTAGCCTCGTAAGACATCAAGTGCTGTATATTTCATAACGAACACTTAAAATCTTTTTCGCTTCTTATCAAGTTTATAAACTTATCACTACTGTTTTCTTTTAAAATTGAATTCAGAATGCAAAAGTCAGTTCAACTAATAATTAATACTGGTCTTATTTAAGGAGGTTACATAAAAGTAGAGGATTGCCCAAAAGTCAGTTAACTGGTTAGTAAATACGTTCGATATTCCTCTGTTACTTACTGAATTTACAAAAATTATTCGAAACGATTCTCCATGTTCAGTGCACAAGTCACAACGCTGTGATACCGTTCTACAGAGTTACTGGCAGGATTAAATCTAAGTATTCCCGTTAATACTACAGAATGTATTGCGTTAAGTGACTTTATGGTCATTTATATAATACTGTCACGTGAGGGAATGACTATAGACGGAGTTTGGACTGGTGACTCGATTCATTGACCACTTATGCACACGATTCGTAAATGCAAGTAACTACAGTATCAGAGAGTCAATAGTTTACACGATTACTAGTGTTCTCAGTCTGTTACAGTCTCCAGTAGTCGTTACCTGGTAATGGATCCTACTGAAGATGAAGAGCGCAATATTCCGCTTTCCTACATATATGAGTATCTGTATACAACGATACCTACCTACCTACCTACCTACCTACCTACCACTAGGCGCTACTGCCCTGGGTGAGCCTTGGCCTCCTCTATAACCAGTGCGTGCTGCCATAGGAATGGACCCACGCATGATGATTCGAGGCTGGCTGTTAGGTTTCTGAACAAAATTCCTTTTACAGGATGAGGTTGTTAGCCTCATGCCCAACCCCCAACATGGAGAACCAGGATATCTTTCTTAGTCTGGACTCTAACCTTTGACCTTTCTGGTATGGGTGATCCTACCGGTAGTTAAACTACCGCCGGCATAGCTCTATACAACGATATCACAGTAATCTAACATGGCTGCTGTGTTACGCCCCCTTATTTTTCTTCAAAATATGATCACTCGATATTAAGGTTCCATTTTCAAATGAGAAATGTTTTTGAAAGATATATACACATCATGAGGTGTTCGCGGGATTCCTAGCGGGGTGCAGCGATGCTAGAGGGAGCTCTTTTCCATGTTCCACCTTACCCACTTCAGGCTTCCTGTTGACCTTGTTCAATGTCATGACACGTCACAGCCCCACAAAGTTATATCAAACAATAACAAACCCATAGGTTTATTTGTGGTGTAATGAGAAATGTAACTAGCGCAGATTGCAAGTCCCGGTGTTTTATGAAAGGAAACTGCTCCCAATCGCAAATAGTGACGATACGTAAGAGGGCTGAATAAGCAAACCAAATATATCACAGCACACTTGTCTGGAGTGCATGTAGGCTTACCAAAATATCAAGAACACAGTGTGTGTCAAGGGCCAGTAACGCCAAATGGTAGTTTGACTGATGCATAAAGAATTAGAAAGTACTTGGAAGCAAAGAGTCGTGGCATAATCGAGGGCCTAGCCCGGCCTGGAGTGATTCACAAAACCACGACGAAACATCATAATAACTAACAACTTGCCGAGTGACCGCTATGAAAACCCGCTCGGTAACAAGTCTGATAATTCTAAAAAAGTGAAAGAAAAATTTAAAGTTATCACTGTGCTTAACTGACTAACCACTATGCCATGAAGGCGTATGGGGTGGTGGGTGTATAACTCCACCACTCTTGACCTCAGCACTGCATGGAGGTGAGTGGTCCGCTTCGTCTTTTGCCCTTGCAGGGAACCAAACGCGGATTCCTATGTCGTGCAGCCCACAGCCTAGTGGGTCTCCCGGCTCCCTGATTCTGAAAAGGCATTCCGAAAATTCTACCAAGTATTGTAATTCATATATATTATTCGAGATATCCGCCAGTACAGCGATTAGGCTAGAGGCTTAAC